TCTCCTGCTAGCCCAGAATGACACCTGCCTTTATCCTCCCCCAACAGCTTATTATCGCCTTGCATTTAATGGTCTCTACTGTAACTTATCCACTCCCACTGTCCTGCTGCTCTGCCAGCTCTCACCCATTTCGTACTCGAATGTCTGATTTCTCCTCCTAACTACAGCTCTTTGCACTCGCCTTTATCATATTTCTCCTCGTTATTTCAGGCCATTTTTCCTGTGGATTATGGCCATTTCGAATTCTGATACAGCCCTCCGAGGTGCCCGAGTGTGTTCTGCAGTCACTGCCAACCGCGGGGTTTTACACAGGCTGTTTACTTCACTGCTCCAGCCATTAATGAAGTCACAGAAAAACACAGACCCTGCAATAAAGTGCGTAGGGGTCTCACGATGCCCTCTCTGGCTACACACCAATAGCCATTCCAAGTGCAATTTTTCTGCTAAGTTGTGTTACTTTAGCTCATTTCCTTCTCTTTCTTGTAAAAAGGATAAAGGATACAGTTAGGCAAAGGAAACATTAACTGCATCAGTTTTCTCTGAATCATCCGTTGTTTTTTCTCCATCCCCTCATCTTTTCACACTTAATCATGTGCCTTTCCTTCAGACTTCTGCAGTTTTCATTTTGACTGAGCCTTAGAAGCCCTCACTATGCCATTTTCCCTTTGCATGAGGAGACCTGCCATTAAAAAAGCACCTTCCTTGAGTTATCCCACCTATCCTCTCCCAAATGGACCCTGGCATCAACCCCCCCACTTAGCAAAACTGCCTTTTGAGGTCCTTATTCTGCTTCTTTCATCTCCCTGCTTTCTCCACAGCACCAAATGCCAACTCCACAGCCACTTTTTACCCAAATTACCTCTGAATTTACAAGTTTTAACCACATCAAATAAGCCTGACTGTAACCCAGAACAGCCAACTCCAGAATAACACTCTGTATGTTCTGAATTACAAACTGTCCTCTGGAAAAAAAAAAAATCTATTAACTCTTTGTCTTTTCAAGGCTTTCCATGTTAGGAACTTTCTCAACAGATCCCCAAGTAGTGAATATCTCCCGTTTCCACCAGACTTCATTGTTTGGGAATACTGGTGGATGAAAAATTGGGCACAAGTCAAGGGAGGGGGTTCTGCCCCTCTGCTCTCATGAGACCCCACCTGGAGTGCTGCTTCCAGCTCTGGGGTCCTCAGCACAGGAAGGACAGAGACCTGTCAGAGCAAGTCCAGAGGAGGCCACAAAAATCATCCTAAGGCTGGAACACCTCTCTAATGAGGAAAGGCTGAGAGAGGTGGGGAAAGCTGAGGAAAGCTCTGGGGAGACCATAGCGCAGCCTTTCAATACTTAAAAGGGGCTTATAGGAAACACAAATAGAGAATTTTGTAGAGACAGGACAAGGGGCAGCAGCTTTAAACTGAAAGAGGGTCAGTTTAAACATTAAGTAAGAAATTTTTCATGATGAATTCGGCGAGACATGGGAAGAGGGTGCCCAGAGAAGTTGTGAATGCCCCATTCCTGGAATTGTTTGAGGACTAGATGACTTTTAACAGTCCATTCCAGCCCAAACCATTCTCTGATTCCATGTTACCCAAGCTTTAGTACTACAGACTCTGTTGATGTTCAGCATCGAGCCTCCAGCCTTTTCTGAGCGAAAAGTCTCTGTTCCAGTGCTGCACTTTATCTCCTGAAGTCTCTGCAATGCCCAGCAATCATTTTTTACATATATTGACAAAGAGTTCCTCCTGTGTACTCCTCATACTGGTGTACAGACGTTTTAGCTTCACATGGTGGGTGCCTCATTCTCTCTCCTGGATCTTACAGTCCCAGCTCCAATGAATAATTCATTTACGTCAAGGAAGTGCAACAGTCTGTCAGGACACAGAGTTTCACAGCAGAAGCTAAGACAGAACCCAAAATTTCAAGCCCCTCCACCAGCTGCATTTAAGCCCTAAAGACTAGAAATAACAAGTATTGATTATTCTCTTTCTCTTGGCCAGTAATGCTGTTTAGGAGTCACAAATCTCTCCTGAAAGTTCATTTGTAACTAGCTTGCTTCCCTGGAGAAAGGTTCTGAGCAGTCAGCATTTCTGACTGACCAGCCAAGCAAACTTTCCCTACAAGCTGCCAAAACACATCCTTGGAAGAAGCCTGGTCAGCTATTAAGAAGACCTTAGAACAGTTAAAATACTATTGGCACCCAGATAGCACATTGCTGCAATTGTTCACACAGACAAATACAGTGGGAAATCTCTCCCCTTAACTTCCCTCCTCCCCTTCCTCCAAAAATAGAACCAAAACCCCCAAAACCAGACTTACTGCAGTGCCAAAGTCCTTCTTACTATAAAAATCCGTAATCACACATAACTGCTTAAGGGCTCTGTGTCTTTGAGAAAGCTTCAGGTCTGCACAAAACACCCCAGTTATGGCAACAAGTCTTATTTTAACCCTATATAATTTCAGGATGACCTCAAGTTGGAGACTTTCTCTTTACAGAGGTCATCAAATTCAAATAGAAATAAAACACTGTTAATTTAACATCCAGATAAGCTTTTGCTAAGATAGGTTTATTAAGCCCCTAAACATCAGTGTTAACAAGTATCCTTTTATACTCACTGACAAACACCCCGTGGTCCACCAGTTTGTGAAAGCTGAACTCACTCATGCACAGAGGCACCAGAAGTATTTTTACACAGGTTTGTGCCTTGCTATTACCCATCTCCAGACCACCACTGATCTATTTTGGAGTCCCTTCACCTGAAAGCCTAAAACCATGGCAGTTGTCTAATGGTCTCTGTTGCTCAAATGGGCACTTGAACTGCATCTCACAGGGTACCTTTTTTTCCACATCCTGGACATGAGCGACAATGAGATACATGAAATTAATTCCTACCTAAGGGTGTCAGATGCAGTTATGTGCATTTTTATAGGCCATACCCTGTGACCAGACTCCAACAAGCACTTGATTTTACTGAGATCAGAGCTGGCTATTACTCCCCTACTCTTAGGGTTTGGGTTGGGGTTTTTTTTAGATATTATAGAGCACCACTCAAAAACGTGTCTTTGTAAGAGCGAGAGAAAAGTGGTCAAAGGGAGATTTTAAAATTCAGATCAGTATCATCCGTGCTGCTGCTGCTGCCAATTCTGACCTTAACATTTACCCAAATAAGAGACTGGTGGGCAAGGAAAGACGTGGGCAACACTGGAGAAAGAAGAGTCAAAGGAGTACAAACAGAATGGACAGTCTGCAGCCCCGAAGTACAGGAGTGTTATTCCAAATCATGAACTAAGCCAGTACTGGTTAACAAATTCTACTTATGGGGTCACTGGAATTCTGATCCCCACTATCCATCTGGGAGATTAAATATTGCAAGCGCTGGCTGTGGAACAATCAGGATTTTCCTTGGCACTCCTGGCAGAGCTGCAGTCCAAGAACTGAATCTCCCTGCTCAAGCCATGAGACACAGACAGGCTTGTGAAGGGTTTGGCAAGCACAGGATCTGTATAAAATGACTGCACATTACCTCCCTCTAAAACTGCTCATGTTTGTCATCTAGATGAGATTGCAAGTGTCTTTATATAGTGTTTTAAGCATATAATTAAGAATATATAGTCTATAGTTGGCCCTTGCTCAGCAAACTCTGATCATACAATTGAATCATGTGAACAAGGACCTGAACAATTGAAATTCTGTATTTTTAAATTTCTGTATGACGGCTAGAGCCAGAAACTGCTTTTATGATGACCTGAAATAGAATTAGAACAGTGTCATATACCATTCAGTGTAAAATTGATCTGAAGCATTTTCAGTCTAGCAACATGAGCTTCCTCGCCTCCCCAAAAGGAGTATGTTCATTCATTAGCCTTGCAGATCAAAAGGTCACATGGGATCAGAATTCTTTTAGAAGAGTATTCTTTAATCTAGCAGACAAACAAAATCACTATCTGGTTACCTGAAGTTGAGGAAAGAAGCAAAGTACATCTAAAGTAAGTATTTAAGCTGTAAGGATATGGTATTTATCTCATTATGTAGGACAGATTTTTATAGTGGGGACTGTTTCTGTACCAGGACATGAACATGGGACTAGTGTTTTTGCTGTGCTACCTTTTATGGCTCTTTATTGAGATTAAACCCAGAGGAAGTGGGAGAAGTTCCTGCAACTCCAAAATAAAGTCTGGTATCAGTGTTTGGTAGCTTGGCTGAGCAGTCCATGAATTCAGATTTGGCATCTGTCAGCATATCACAGGGGAGAAAAACTCCAGCCTGCTCACCTAAAGGGACACTCCAGAGTGCAGAGAGTCCCAGCAAACTGGTCCCATCACTGTGTATGTTCTGGTGAATATCCATCAAAGAAAGCTGAGATAATGGTAAATTAATTTGTCGAGCCTACATGAAAGATTCAGGAAACTATCTTACAGCTTTAAACCAAGACTCTGTATTTTTAAAGACAATAATCTGTAGCTCAGAAGCATTTATGAAACCATTGGAAGTTTCAGGGCATCATGTGTATAAAGGAAGCGTGGTTAGATCATCCCATCAGTTTAAGTTATGGCTAGAAACCTTAAAAGGAAAAGGAAAGCTTTGTGGATTTTTTTACACTTTGAAGTTCCTACCTGATTTAGAGACATTTATACTCAAATAATCCCTCTGATAAGGGCGAGAAACACTCATCCAAAGTCCTACAATATGGCAGGATTAGGTATAGCCCAGCCCTGAGTTAATGGTCATGTAATTTGTGTACAAAAAGCTCTTGAGAAGCAGGTTCCAGTGCTTCAAAGGCAGAGCATGTCCTGTACTGACTCCAGGAGCTTTAGTCTGTGATGTTCCACCGATGTGTTTCATAGAATGGGATTCTTAAACTGCATAATCTTCAACTAGAGTAATTTTTCATTCAAAAGTGAAGTGAAATAAAGACACTAAGTAATAATTTAACATCTAAGCTCAGATTTAACATCCAAGAAGAGATTGTAACCAAGCACCACTCCAAACTGACAGCAAAAGCAAGGCAAAGAAACATGAACTGCTTTATATACACAGAGAGTATCACATGACTGGTGTGAAACAAGAACCAATTTCCAGGGGCTCTGAGCATCTCCAAATGTCCTTTTTTTTTTCCAATGGGAACTCTGCACACTGTTAAGAAATGACTGATGCCATGCAAACACCTGTATCCAAAAGTCAACTGGTTCTTCATCTGAACCTGTTCCCCTCTCCCACCTCCCAAATCACAGCAATTGTTTCCCCAAATTTAGCCAGGCTTCCACTGAGGCACAAAACACAAGCTGCCACCAAATGAATACAGTATTTTAAGAGCTGAAAGAGTAATCATGTTCTTAGGAAACTCAGAGATGTGATACAAAAGAAATAAGACTGAGTCTGAATATAAAATTACAGGCTGATGTTATGTTTAACTATGTAGACTGTCACAGATGATGTCTAGTATGTAATCCTGTTACAAAAATAGGTTTCAGGAAAGTTTTTCTATGCAAATAAAATGAAATTTAGTGAAGTTTAACAAATTTCATCGCTTTAGTGACTGTGATAACACTACTTTACTTGAAATGCATTAAGAATTTCCAAGTCCTGATATGCAAAATTTTCAAACCTTAAGTAGTCTGCTGTAGCTATACCTGTTCTCTGAAATGAAGTATTAGCCCTCAAAGAAAAAAAATCCTTTCTTCACTTTTTTATTTATTTCTTTTTTTACATAAAGGACAAGAAGTGCTCCCAAATGAAAATCAATTTACAATTTTAAAAGGTTACTACAGATAAAAATGTACATTCCTTTTTCTTTGTGACTATATTTTCAGCAAGACTGTGCCTAAACTCAGAGGATGCTCGATGTTTTAACTGCACAAGCATTACATGTTGCCATATTTATCAGTGAAGAGTCCAAAGGCAGAGCTCACTGGCATCAGTCTTCACAATATGAGATGGGAAAGCAGTTGTTCATTGCACTCAGACTGTTGCTGGCTTGCACCTGGAATCCAGCGAGAACTCACCCTGACCTTTCATGTTTCCCTGAAAAAGCTTTTCTACACTTTTATATAAACCAAGAGACACAGAGGATGAACAGCTCTTCAGTTCTTTCACTGACTATAAAAAGCACGTTTTCTTTAAATCAATAGTTTAATAGTTATGCTAAATATAGCTTTAGCTGCATTTCTTGCTTGTAATTCAGTGTAATGCTTCTGGGTACCTCAGTCATCATCTTGCTGATTTCTCTTCTGTCAACAGAACAGGAGAGTTCATAATGTTAGGGCACAGTTATCTGAAATAAGAGCACTAATAAATCATCACAAGTGTTTTCAGACACAATGGATTAGACAATGACTGCGTTTCTAAGTCATTTTTTGAATGCTGAGAGATAATGTTTCCAGAAAATGGAACAGAGCAATATCAGCTCTCATCCCAAACTACAGGATTTTATTTCCAGTAAAGAACAAGATTTGCCCTGTGCATTAACTAATGGAATATACAAGAACCAGAAAACATGACAGTGGTGGCAAGAGCCAGTGATCAAGACGCAGATAACCTGCCCTCCCTTCCCTACTTCACAAAGATTCACATTTTCACATCACTGTTCATCAAAAGAATAAAGAAAGTGTATTGAAAAAGGAATAACTGTTTAGGGACTTTTCCTAATATACTTACCTTCTAACTTTTAAAGGGGTTCTTAAAAGCATTAGCTCCAGGCATTCAAAAAGTACATTTCTATTTGCATTACAGTTGTGTTTACATTTAAATTAGAAAAGAAAACATCTTTCTAAAAAATTAGAAAGAAAACATCTTCAGTAAGATGTGTCGAACTACATTCATTCCTTCCCATAAAGATAAAATCAATTAACTGAAGTGAGATCAGTATGAAAGCTTGCTCTCCATCACTTCAAAAACAATTAGCCCAACAATACATCGTGTGATGGCTTCATACATTACTTTTTCCATAATTACATAATCCGCGTTAATTACATAAGCACAGTTCCAGGGACTTTGATGTTTCCATTTGACAAGGATGGCAGGCCAGGAATTTTTCCTGCCACTTCTTACCAGCTTAAGGAAGTCGATCAGTTTGTGAACATCCTCTCCTGTAGAAAGGTCCACGAAATCCTTCGGCAGTCGGTAGCTCAGGTACGGACTGGGCTGGACGGTGACTTTACTGTTCGTGCAGCGGAAAACTGGATAATCCTTTGGGAAAGACACCAAAATGTTTTGAACTCCTCCGTGAGACTGCCTGAGTCACGTTGCCAATGACTTTATTTGGCGTTCATTCAACTAAACTTGTGTTTTCTAAAAATTGTAGTTTTCTTCCTAAAACCTCTGCCCACTCCAGAGCAATTTAAAATGTCAAACACATTAAACAGTCAAATTAACGGCTTTCATTCCCTCGCTGTAAAGTTCCTAAAATGTATCAATTATTAATGTATTTAATATGCTGTGCTTAGAACAGTGCTGTAATAATGGAGCTATAAGCAACTTTGGGCAATAGTAGCTACATAAGTATCTGGATAGAGAAAAATCTTTCTGAAAGAATCCCCAAACTTGTCTTCACAGTTTCCTTGTTTAAACACATTTGCAACTATAACCTTACTGAAATTATAATCTAAACTTTCCAACCAATTTACTTACTGAAGGAAAAAATATCTCTATAAAAGAGCCAAAAATATGTCTAAATGCTCAACTGTAGCAACAGGTTTTGGGTAATTATATAATTTTCAGCTCAACACATTGACATGCAATTTAATTGCCCACTGTACAGCAATAAGGAGCTTCATTTTAAAGAGAGAAAATCAGTAACTTCACACCAGATTCTGTGATTGGATATAAGCTGAAACATGAAGACAAGTTATTCTGCTTTTCATACAGGCTTGCACTACAGAAAACTGTGTAAAGCGTCTGGCACGGAGAAAAAGAAATCCCAAAACAAAAATTTCGGTGTCCCACAGACAGCTCAAGAATTGGGAGTGTGTTTTAACAAAGGAGACGTAGCTTTTAGCAGGAAGATTCCTGGAATGGGTTTTCATACAGTAACAGCCACAGTGTGAGACAGAGAAACTGGCCTGAACGACAGTCTGAGGAGTGGTGTTCCCTGTCAACGTGTCATGGAAATGGCCACAGGACTAAAGCAAAGCTCAAATGCTAAAATCAGCTCCAATAAATGTCATTTCAGTTCCCTCTAATGCAGCTCAACAGCTAGAAACTAAAAGCCCACACTGACTTAGATATCTCTCCTCAAAAACGACCAAGTGTTTCCCAGGATCTACTAACACACTTCTTTCCATCCCCATCCGGCTGTCTGAGCAGTTAAGATGTGAGGACTCTGTCTCAAGCATGAGGAAAAAAAACCCCTAGAATACAAAAAATGAAGACTATTCCTCCCTCTCTGTATTAACGGGAAGTTAACTTGTTTTTATGGAGGCAAGGCTGCTTGGAAGAGAGATGGAAAAGCCCTGCTCTGCAAGTCCAGGGAGTTCAACCAGAGGATGGGGCTTCCCTGAGGGTATTCAAGATGAGGGGGAGACAGAAGTTAAGCTTTTTTTTGACTCCCCCCACCAGGCATGAAGCTGGAGGTGTGGGAAACTGTATGACAAGACAACAGGAACAAAACAGAAGTTTGAGGGATCATATAGATAAGTAACACATTTTAAGAAAAAATTGAGAGCATCAGAACTGCATAAAAGGAAGTTTCAGGGCGTCTTCTTTGCAAAGTGGTCAAAGCTGTGATATGGGCTCGTACTGTTTGAACTAAAAATTCCCTAAGGCATCTAAAACTAGCAGGTGATACTTGTGGGGATATAACTACTGGCTAATAAGGAAGATTCTGCTTTACAAAGAGTTTAGGTGTCATGAGTTAAGGACCTTCACTTACTTCAAAATGGGGTTTGCATCACAATTTGATTATAAGAGCGAAAGACAGGTTAAAAAAAAAAGGCCATAACTGCTGTTGGACATTATTGAGCCTGCCTCACCTGTTCTGTTGCTTCCCCTTCACTCTGGTCTCCTTTCAGGTTTTTCCCAGAGGTCAGTTCTTCCCATGTAAAGAGCAGGGAGTCTGTTACTTCACCAAATGGGTTAAAATCTATTAACCAAATCTTACCCTGCAAAGGAACCACAGAAGAGTTAAAACAAATCACAGAATTAAAACAAAACAAAAGAACAACAAAAAAAAAATAAATCAGAATACACATACACTTGTATCATTACAGTGTGCTTAGTCTTTAGATAAAAAGATATCAAAACAAACTACCTGGTTTTAAGCACTTTAAATAGTCTAACATCCTTTACATTATACAGTTTTAAATCACAGCAAGTTATGACTTACTAATTTAATTTAAGTATTTTTTTTAAAAACAAAATATCAAATAGAGCTCAAATAAACTGCATTTAGTTCTATGCCAGGTGCCACAGAAGTTCTGTCTAATCTCCATGGTCCTCCAAGATTCCCAGACAGCATGAACAAGGAATAAGGGAGGACACCAACAAAAACAAACAGAAAAACCTAAAACACAACCAAACAAATAAACCTAAACCACCAAAACAAGGATTTTGCTTTCAATCAAAAGGCACTTCAGCCCTACTTTAAACTGAGTTTTCCACAAGAATTGCTGTTCTTGGTCTCTGAAGGGACTCCAAAAACACAGAGCAGGGTCTAAAAAAGGCTAATGGAGCTCATGGAAGCACAAAGATGCTCTACAAACACAGATAAATACAGAATAACTTATAGGCACTTTTAACATAGCCATTACTAGAAGTCCAGACCAGTTTCTCGTGCCTGAACTTTAATCTTTTTGTGTTCCAAACAGTTGTGTAGTGTGCACAACAGCACTCCTGCTACACAACTGAAAAATGAAAGCAGAGACTGACATATTAAAGGTAACAGAGACGTGTGTGTGGGAGGAAGAAACTGGGTTCCCTAAGTCACCTCAAGAAACAACCCCCAGCACAGGGCCATCTTTCCTTACCCAAGAAAGTGTCAACTATTCTAACAAAACAAAATATTGTAATAAATTATAATGAAATTTGATTACAGCTGCTAGTAAGAATTTGCAAAACAAGTATTACATCTGGAAGAAATCAGCTCTATCAAATATGGAAGGAAAAGGTTGCAGTCATATAAGCAGGACTGAAGAGTTTTATTGTGTTTATTAAAGATCAACTGGAATTGGAAAACAAACCTGAAAACTGTGTAGCTACTAGCCATTCATTTTGCTTTCTCTTCCTTTCCCTCATTACTGAAGGATCTTCTTTCTTTAAAAGATCTTCCCCACCTTGATTCAAACAGCAAATATCTTCAATGACTTAACGCTACAGCCATCTGGTTTCTAACTCACAGAGATGCTTTTGCAGCCTTCAGCACAGAGTAACATGGAGACTGCCTCTCCCACCCACAGCCCTAAGCTATCCCACAGGCACTAATACACTGTGGAAGAGGAAATGCACGGAGACCCATCAGATAGAGAACAGAAGGGCTCTGGCTGCTCTGTTACCATCCACAGCCAGTTCCTCGAGCAGGTACAGGGAGTCCCAGCACAGGTGAAAGCAGTGATATTATCTGCACACTGGAGCTGAGCCAGCACCCGACCAGCGGGTGTGTAGTTGCACACAGGGTTTCACAGGTCTCTCTCTCAGGGCAGGCCCACGGGGTACAGCTCCCCCAGGGCAAATTTTAAGAGGCCAAACCACGGCAACAGCAGTGCTGAAACTAGACAGCTACAAAAGAAACTGTGAAATGAGGGGGGTCAGTCCTGAGTGGTTTCTTTTTGGTTCAGAAGGGTGAAGAAGCCCAAGTCTGAGTTGCAACACCTCTGCACTAATAGTGACACCATCAGTGCAGGGCCAGCAGGGCAAACATCTGCTGTCATTTCCCATCTTTGGTCCTCCTCAAAAGGCCATCACAAATTATCATTACAGGCCATGCTTTACTTTTGCTAATGGGGATGTCTTGTTAGCTCCAAGGCAGCACGAGGACTAATCTGGGATTTTAGATTCACTCTATCACACTGGAAAAACAAGCTAATGAACCAATTTAATCAGAGACAGAAGCAATGGCTGGCAAAGTTCGTTCATCGGTTCAGAGAATCTTTCCTTGGATCAGAAACAGTAATACTTAATACTTCCCTACAAAAGTTCACAGAGATTCCTCTTCGCCCCAAATACATCAAATAGCATTTTCACAGGAACACAAGATCATTCCTCTAGAGAAGATATGTACCCTGGAAAAAAACTGAAGATTGGGTTTGAGACTCCTGAAAGCAACACGGTTTTTGTGAGCACCCAGCAGTGTTCCTCCACCCCTGCAGGCAGCAGTGCCCCATCTACACCACCAGCTGTTTCCTTGAGAGGATCTTAAATCTGCACAGAGCTTTGGTAGCTGCAAATTGATGAGAAGTGGCAAAACAAACTAAATATCTCTTTTCAGGGCTCATTAAAAGGAGTGTGTGTAACTCTGGGTCAGTAACCAAACTGTCTTTTCTTAAGATTAAATTATCTTTCAACTCTTACATGCAATGTCATGATTTAAATGTTGTTTCAGATGACTTGCACTGTGTATCTAAAGAACAACAGTAAAGCTCTTTATCTGCCATCTTCTGCCTATTTCTAGTAATCTTTGCCATGAGAAGTGCACAAGCCAGGAAAACAAAGTTGTGCATATCTGGAGCTGAAAAAAGAAATACATTTGTAATACATAAGATTTTTTTTCTCATCCTAAAAGGAGGAACCAATAGATTTACCACACCATGCCACTTCACGCTTTGTTTTACTAGAGCATTAAGCAGCACACTGCTGAAAGGAAGTGCCTATGACACAGACTGCTTAAAGGAAGTTAAAGACAGATAAAATGCAAACTGAACTGTTACATCTCCCTAACTCCAGTTGCACCTTCCTGCACAGTGACAACACTCACAAGGCAGAGACACAAGCACTGGACTGCACGTTCACCAGAGCTGTGAGCCCACAGTGGGCTGCAGCCACTCACTGCATCTCCCTGCATTACCCCAGTGACTTGCCTGGTTCATTGGTCACACCTGGGAGACAACAAAGAACAACAGCAGAGCTGTCTCTCAGGCTTTGTCAGCTCTTGAACAACCACTGGGAGCTGCCACCCTCCATCTCCGCGAGCAGGACCTGTGGCATCCAACTCCATCCAGTCTCCCAAGGAACTGAAGCAAGCACAGGAAGGAGGCTGCTCTCACTCACAACCATATCAAACAACAAGCTGCTTCTCCAAGCTGAATATTTAGAGCTGAAAGTATTTAAAACAAGCAGACAGTGGACATTTCTCTCATTCTGTAGGTGAGGTTGCTGTGCAACCAGCATGATGAGGAGCACGGGCTCTGGAAATTAATCACGCTCACAAACACTCAATATTCTTTTGCTGCCTGTAACTAACACACAAAGGGAGAGATGAATAATGCAGTTGCAAACCACAGAAGTATGTGTGAAAGGAGGAGGATCTGACACACAAAGGGCTATCTGGCAGTTTACAAAACCTGAGGGTGAAAGGCACCGAGAGACGTCTACAAACAGATATATTTTATCTTGACAGATGAAGAAACACTGCTCATTTGAGACCCCACAGGCTGAAATCTTTTACTTCAATAATCTGTTTTCATGCCTCAGCTATGAGGCAGAGAACCCAAAAGCAGAGTCTGGTTCAATGCTGAAGTGCTGCTCCTCATTTTCCCTGACAGCATCCTCACGTCTGAGGAGCTGAGCCTGGGCAGGTAATTTTCCTTTCAGCGTGGTTGTTCCCAGTCCCTACCTGGTTTTAGGTACCTACATTAAAAGCTGTGCTGAGAAACAGTACAGTAGTTGTTTTCCACATGAGGAACCATCCTGTTTAGTTTCTGTTTTGCAAGCCATGGGCACGATTTACTATTAAACAATTCCAAAATAGTTTAGCAACATTCAAACTCAGAATCAGGAGTTACTACCAATACTCCCAACTCAACTCAAATAAAGGCTTTCTCCAATCCCATAACTGTAAACATGTTAAACAGGGAGACTTAGAAATATAGAGAACAAAAGTCTGTAGCCATTGTTTTTGCATTTCTGGTTTAGGATTGGAAAAAAAATTAAGCGAAACTCTTAACTTTCACACACTAATGTGATTCCCTAAATCAGGCTTTCAGATTTAAGGCTAGATAATGCATTTTTGGTTGTAGTTGCTTTTAAAACAATACATGTGTGCCTTTCAAGCACAATTCATCTGACCAAGTATTTCTCTCCACTGGCACTGGGAGAAGTCAAGGTGACTAACTCTGATATTGGCATGTGAAGTTCATAGAATTGTTAAGGTTGGAAAAGACCTTTCAGATCATAAATTCCAACCTTTAACCCAGCACCACTGTGGTCACCACTAAACCACATCCCTAAGTACCACATCTGTGTCTTTTAAATATTTGAGATGGAACATTTCTCCCCAACTCCATCACTATTTGGATGTTCAGGGTTCTGCCCACATCTCAGAACCACAGCTGGAGCAGCTGGAAAAGAAAAAATCGGCTTCCATCTGTCACAAACTGGATATGTCACATTCACATTCCCTTTTCACAATTATCCCTTCATATCCTAGGCTTCCACACATGAAGCACAAGTTACTATTTTCCAACCTCACACGGATAATCTGAAGAAATATTAATAAATTCTGATGAGCTCAGATGCTATAGGGAAAAATAACACATGGTGGGAAAAAAATAAAGCCCAGGGAAATATCTGTCTTAAAAGAAAATGTCCCAAATCTGTTAGTCACAGAACATCCTGAGTTGGAAGGGACTCACAAGGATCATCGAGTCCAACTCCTGGCCCTGCACAGAATAGCCCCAAGAATCCCACCATGTGCCTGAGAGCATTGTCCATAACATGCTTTAATTTTTGGTCAGCCCTGAACTGTTCAGGCAACTGTTCAGTTGGACTCAATGATTGTTGTAGGTCCCTTCCAACTGAAATAGTCGATTCAACTCTAAATTACTGCAGCAAAGACTCTCTGTGTCATAATGAAAACTAAGTTGCCTTCAGTAGATTCACAGAACCAACAGAATTGCAGCTGAAGCCAAAGTTCTTTGCTTTAGGACAGCTTCTCTGGAAGATACTAATAATCTGGAAGATGGTAAATAATTCACTGGCACAGTCATATTTACACCCCTAATCCTATTATTCTTTTACTGTAGGTAGTGCTTAACATAGAAAAAGACCTGTAGAAAAGAATAACATCGAATAGGTTTTGGGGTTTTGTTTGGGGATTTGGGTTTTTTTTTGTTTGGTTGCGTTTTATGTTTTGGTGGGATTTTTTTGTTTGTTTGTTTCTTTTTTTTTCCCCCAAAACCACTTCTAGGAAGACAAAGCTATTATTTGCTTCATCTCAGCATTTCAGCGTTTTCACAGAATAAACAATTATATACAACCTATTGTTCACTTACCCTGCTGTCCCTGTACACATCAAAAACAACTGAAAAGGAGAAAAAAAAGTGTTAATCTTCAACAATATATATTTCAAGACATCTAAATCTGAATAGATACTTGTGTACACAGCACAATCTGCAAAGTCAATATGTCTAAAGAACTGCACGCCAGAATTAGGTTCATTTCCAAGAGGGAGCTGAAACATTTCAGAACCACTGTTAATGCACTGGGAGATTGGCTGCCGGGTTTTTCCATTTAATGCTGGTTTCCTCTGTTGATTTTTCCCCCCAGTGAAGAACATTTGATAAACTCTAAGCCCAGAGAGAAGCTTATCTTTGACATTGCTGCTGTTTCATTTGCAGCAGAATGGAGAAATGGATCAAGACTCCACTGTGTTGGACATTGCACAAACATTTAACAAGAGAAAGTTCCTGCTTGAGGGAGATTAGGCCTTCAGCAGCTAAGAAGACAAAGAGGTTGTAGAACAAAGGGGTGGGTGCCACGTTTGATGTAACCCAGAGCAGACACAGCACACCTACTGATTACCAAGGACTCCTTCAAACAGCCCCCTTGACACGGTGACTGACACAAAGCTGCCTTGCCTGGCTCTGCTGCTCTTCCTCCCCTTGGCTTAATTAAACAGGAACCTCTGTACATGCAGCTTTCTATCAGCTGCTGTTCTGTGTGGTTAAACAAATCCTTGAGTTGTCTTTCTATTGAGCCAGGGAAATCCACAGATAAGCATTCAGGGCATGGCCACATGCAAAAGTTGTACCAGTTTAGCAGGAAGAAAAGGAAAAGAAAAAAACCCGAAAGCTTTAGAAAAGCCTCAGACAAATGCTGTATTGTCATTTCCTTCATGAATAAGGAAGGGAATATTTCAGCTAAGAGATTTCCCAATACATGTGGATAAACTAAACTCAGGATATGACTGCAGAACACTTGAGTCTCAGGAAGCTGCCCGTCAGGAACAGGGAATGTTGATTGATCACAACCATCCATGTAAGGCTTAATCTGACATTTCATGTGAGGTTGGCTGGGCTAAGGGCAAACCACAACTCCACAAAGCCAAAGTCAGGCACGTATCTGGTTCTGACCATCCAGCCTAAATATCCACACAGCTCCGGCACAAGCTCCGTTGCGTCAATTTAAAATGTCACTCCAGGATTAAGTGCTCTGCTTTCTCAGGAAGAGAAGCCCTCAGTGGCTAATTCAGTCACCAATGCAAAGAGGAGCACAGCAACCCCAGGACTTCTTCTCCAGCTGTGCAACTGAACTTGGTGCCTGTACCATGTCCTCTCATTAGTCATATCCCACTTGCATGGAACGCTTGCATCTGAGCAAGCTTTTCTATCAAGTGAGGGCTGTCAGATTAAAGCAAGACCATGGCAGTCCATGAGAACAATGGCCTTTAGTGGGATCACATCCCTGGCAAGACTGCTGGCACGCTGGTGACTAGCTCAGGACACTCACAAACACTGTACAGAGGAGAAAACCTGAACTCTTCCCTCCTCTTAGGGGTCACCTCAGAGCAGGACTGTCCTGTGCCAGTGAGACTGGAGTAAAACTTCATCAGAAACTGCTCAAACAGAGGGTAAGCCAAGGCTCAGCTCTACAGCAAGTACCAATACCTCCAGAGCACTGTTTTACTGGGCTCTTATGAAAGGTATTTAGAAGGTTCTAACATAATTTAGAAGTATTTATAAAGCGTTCACCCATCTGTTATCCTACTGCTCTGACTCTGCAATGTTTCAGCTGCTCTGACTCAACTCTTCCATCTGGAGATGGTACCAGACCAACTGGAAAAAGCAGAGCAAACAGCATCAAAAATCCCCAACGAAACAAGAAGTCAGGGAAAAAAAGCTGTAATACCTTTCCTTTTAAAAGCAAACAAACAAGCAAAGCCAGATTTTATTGTTAGCAACACATATGCTACCAGATCAAGGGAGATGATGGGGGATAAATGAAAGGTGGTAAAAAAAAAAATCACAAAAAACCAGAAAACATTTTCTGCATGACATTTCTCTGCAGATGGACCAGCATTTAGTGCCTCAGAACAAAAGGTTAACAAACCTTCATCCCAGAAGGTCACCCTGAAACCTCTTTTTCCCAGAAGGTAACTCAGATGCCATCCTTTACATAAGATGACACTTCAGACCTTTCAGTTCACCAGGCAGCAATTTCAGAGCCTAAATCTAGGCATCAATTTCCAAAAATAGTGCCCTGAATTCTTATCTATCAGTTGATTACATACCAGCTAAAATTACATTGGAACACAGAGGAAAATTAAAAGACAGTAATCAGAAATGTCAGATCTATAGGACTGATCTTACTTCAAAACACAAGCTTATGGACCTGTTAAATTATTGTACTGATTTCCAGACTGCTACTCTTCTCCAAGCAGTGGTCCTTGAGAACTTCTCTGGACGGAAATAAAGGAACTCTGCAGAGTTAAATTATTCAGAATTCTGATATAACAAATACTGGCACTAGAAAGTATCTTTTTCAAACAGTCAGAGAGGACAGATCTACTTGGCTGCTCTGGTGGCTCAGCAAAACAACTAACCTTGCTCAAAACTTACCTGAAGGTTGAATTTTCAAAGCTTTAGAGAAGACAACACAACTACCAGACAACTCTTATGTTCATGTATTTTACCAAACTGAGGTTTGGTCCATGCCAGACCCAATTTAAATTTCTTCCCCATGTTTTTCACCACTACTGATCACCCATCACAATGGAACTCTATTCTATTCTCACTAAACCATGTCAAGAAACTATTTCCAGTAAAATTTGCAAAGGACTTAACTTTTAAAGAACAAGACAATTTACTTGGGCTGCTTAGGTGTATCAAATACTGTGGTCTTTATTCAAAAGGTTCAGCACCTAGACTGGTGTGCATTAATATTCTAAGAGAAATTATTAAAACTTCTTGAAACAAAATTTTAAAATACTTTATTCAAGAAATACACCAATAATTTAGCAGCAAACATCTGACAACATCTTTATAAACAAGTATTCTTCTTACTACTGAATGCTTTTTGTCAAGCATCTCCTACTTTACTCCTCAGGTATAAAATTTTTCAAGTATAAGGGCAAAACGTCTTAAAAAAAAATCATTATGCCTTTTGAAGGGATCTTTCACTCATTTACTGTGTTTTCCTGAAGAGCTCCAGCCTATTCCTTCAGGAGTTTTTTGTTGCCAATTTTATAGCCACTCCAAACTTTCGCTCCTCCAGATGCTAAAGCCACAAGAGCTGTAAGACCCTCCCAAGTTAAACAGGACCAAGCCTTGGGAAAGCAACAGCTGTGAAGAGAGAGATGCATATCCACAGATCTGCTTAAGATACTTACAGTCCTCATCCAAGAATTTATACTGAATGTGTTTCTCGAAGAACTCCTGTATGGCTCTGCAGATGTCCTCATGTTGCTTGGAGATGTGGTCGTAGTATTGGGTGTAGTCCCTCTGGGATATACCTGTCAATGATTTCAGCTGATTACAAAGGGCTCCAGGCATACAAAAAACCAAACCTGAAAAAATGCAGTTATCAGGCACATGCATGCCATCATTTATATTTCAGAAGATGGGGTTCTCCCAGGTTTCAACCATCACCAATGACTTAGTCTTTAGCTTTATTCTCCTGTACTTAAAGTACTTCCATTAGGAATCTTGTCCTTGAACAGCCCTGTCCTACATTTTATATGCACATTCTTTGACTATTTTTAAGTGAATTCCAGGAGGAACATTCACCTCTGTTTAAGTTTCTAGTTCCTGTCTTTTCCTTTCAGTTTTATTCCCGCTGGTTACTGTGGTCAAAAACCTTGTTCTGCACATCAGAGGTAGGGACCACAATTTGGAACCATGAAATGAAAGAGGTAGAGGCTAAGCTCGCACATTAGCAAGGATGATAGATCCTAGTGTACCACAGATTCTCATTTAACCAGTTTTTTAAGTGTGGAATAACAGATGCTTGTTTGATAAGGCACTACAGGTGAAATCTTAAATCCCCAAATCAATGAGATGGCACACAGTCAAGTACCTTGCTGCTCTCATTTACTCCCTCAAGGGCTTTCCTGCCTATCTGACACTTCCCAGCTACATCACAAGCTCTTAATTTCAGACACGTGTTTGTCTACAAGACAATAGTTTAAAATGACATCAGCAGGATTATACACTTGCATCCATCTTGAATGACAGTTCTCATACAGGATGTGTCAACACAGGCCATTGCAATGCCCTGTTTCACAAAGCCAAATCCAAGAGCTGCCCCATCACTGAAGAATGAGTAACTCAGGCTGGTTACATACAGAAGAAGCCAGAATCCCCCCAAAAAGATTTATCCCTGATGTCAGTTTGCTATTTTAACCATATACAAAACACAGATTGTTTTACTGTAAGACAATGCTGACTCCCTCCAAAGATGTGCTCTTTCTAAAAAAGTTCATACAAAAAGTTTATGGTGTCAGTGGAACTTGGACTTTTTAAAACCACTGCAGAGCTGAAGCTGAGTCTAAAAAACAAAAACCAAGAGGTGATGGCATCTCAAGGGAGGCAGATGTGTAACTGGAAAATCATTCACTACACTGCAACTATCACTCCTTAGCTTGACTGACAGGCTCATTAATTTTAAGAGCATGGGAACACATTATGAAAAATCTTGGAACTATCTTCAGAAATGCAGCTGGAGTGCTAGCTAAAAAAAGCCCATATTGGCAGATCTACAGTTTCAAATTCTAGCCATGAAATGGACAGTTTTTAATTAGCCAGTGTACAAATGGTTTGAAAATAAATATTACTATGTATATTCTATAATAAAACTAAATTCAGATGTGTTAGAGGTTATTACAGTGATGTGTATCTCTGGCAGTTGTGGTGCTCACAGCATTACAGGACAGGACAGGATTCAGCTCTTCTCCCTTCAAAAAGCTCTGTCAGTAGCCATTAAGTAATCCTGACCTAATGGAGAATCCCTGCTAACAGCAACATAAACTCTGTTACAGAGAACTGTAATGAACCTGCACTTGGCATAAATGGAGAGAGAATGGGAAGACAAGTGTAGAAGCATCAGAAAAAACAGCCAAATAAAAGGGCTTAGGAGAATGGTATGTGTTGACAGCACCTGGATTAGCACAGCTCAAAACATCCATGTGCAGCTCCATAGGATGCTCAGATCAGGAAACAAAAACCAGGGAGTACATTCCTAGATTCACAGAGGTGGGACAGGATGGAGCAATGAATTACTGACAGCTTCTAACAGGTAAAAAAAGACACATCCAGAACAAGCCTACAGTCACAATGCTGAGAGGAAGACAGGAAAAACAATGAGGACTACACAGTTAATATCCCTTGTCTTCCATACCATCACAAGGTATCCTGGATAGATCACTTGTAGAAATGGAGCTTGGGTTTGTGAATATGTAGGTATGAGACAGATAAAATGAGCAAACCTGGTTTTATCTTAAAGCAAAAAAAATCACCTTCCTTCCTGTAAAGTCTGGATTTGCTACATGACTGTTGTAACATTTCCTTGTTAGAAGACTTCAGGCAGAATGATTCAACCTTGGTAAGAACAACTGTGCACCAGTCCTGTGCTATTTGCATTTCTGTTCGTCTCTAAAGATTCCATGGTAGACCACACCAAAACCAAACTCAAACTCCACAACAGTACTTAGCCTGAAATTAAACCACTCAATTCTAGCACCTGGGTGTGCACTCGATGTCTCAGCTCCTGCTGTAGTCAAGAGAGAATAATCTGCACAACCAGAAGAGTGTAATTCAGCTAAATTTACCCAATTACCCAAGGAGCTGCCTAAAATACAGGCTCTAGCACAACCTGCCTGTTCTCCAGCTGTCAGAAGTCTCCCAATGTGCCCACCAGCTCTTTGCATGCTGTGGAAACCCTGGTTGTTCACTGCCACTTGAAATGTTTTACATTTAGGACTTCGAACCAGAGCAACAGAACAACAGGTTCTAAACTACAACAGGACTAAGCTACACTGATTATAACATGAATTCAGACACCTCAGACACCTGTGGAGATGTTCTGACCTCCCCAGCTTTCTGCATGTAATATCCACATGGGGTCATGTCCTAGCAGCACAACACACAATTGGCTCTGTATTCATTCTGCAAGTCAGAGGTGATGCAATTTGCTCCTGAATATAAAAGAATCACTCACAAAACAGCCTCTGGGTGAAGTTTCTGAATTAACAATTAAATTAAGAATATTCTCCCTGTAATGGTGAGCACGCTGTGCTGTCAGGCTTTCAAATACAATGGATAGAGAAATGCAGCATGCCACATTTTAAATTACAGAAAGAAGAAACCATTCATTTCAGAAATGAGGTGTGACAAGCAAGATCTGTCTTCAGATTTAGCTCTCATTCAAGGAATCAGAGAAACTACTCAGAACTTCATCTAATAGATTTGTCTAAGAACATCCTTACCTAAAAGCTTGTTTTCCTTGACAAAACACCTGAATTCTGCACCAGGGATTAGTTCACACCATTTGCGAAGAACAAGCTGCAGAGGGAAAGCAAATGACAAAATATTGTCTCAGAAAGGTAGCAGGTAACTTTTTGTCAACAGATCAACATCTACAGTTCTGCTGTAGTGGTAAGATGACCTATGATACAAGAAAGCAAAACAACCTTAACCTGCAGTTCACATAACCATTTCAGCAAATACTTCCAAGCAATTAGACTTAATATCTGTTTCAGAGAATCACAGGATCCTTTCAGTTAGAAGGCACCTCTAAATACCACGTAGTCCAAACTAGTTTAAAGCAGAAAGATTCAGACTGCACATAAGAAATGTCTTCACCATGAGGACTGTCAAGCATTGGAACAGCTCCCTCACGGAGGTTGTGCAGCCTCCACCCACTGAGCTTTTCAGACCAGATCTGATAAAATGCCAAGCAAGCCAATTTGAACTCTTACCTGGCTTTGAGCATGAGAATGAACTAGAGACCTCCTGAGGCCCTTTCCCACCCTAATTATCTTATGCTCTTCTACAGCATTTATAACTGTGAAATCGTTTATGAATCGACTTCCAAGTTACATTAATGATAAAGCATGGAAAATAAAAACCCTGCTGTACAACACAACAAATCTGTCATGGAATTGGCACAAAGTTGCTCCCTAGTCAAAGGAGCTGATGAGCAGAATTAAATTTATCCAAATCAACCTCTATTCTGGTACACACCCAAGCAGAGTTCTGTGACGCCTTTGAAGGCGCAAACCAGTTAAAACAAGGACACGGGACAGAAATAGAAAGCAAACTATTATAGTCCACAGGACAGACTGCCTGGTAATTAAAGCATCTCTCTGGCACTTCCTCAAGTTTCTGCATTTCCTAAGCTGAAGTATTCAGAAGGATTCATTTTTTTGAAGGCCCCAGTTACTGCTCCTGGATACTGGAAACTCCCAACACCCATCAGCTGCAGCAGAAAACCTTCAGTAATCAGAGATGACATTCCTAACTACAGTGTAAACATGGAACTCTTTGTTCCAGCTTTCACATGTCCTGTATCTTTAAAGCAAACTAGATAGTGCTTTAAAAAAAAAAAAAAGGGTTCATTCACTTTTCAAAAGCCCTTTAAGCCCACAGGATGATGACAAATGTTATATTTACATAAAGACTATTATTAGAGAGATGACTAAATGTTACCATAAAAGCAGTAGCTCCACGCTAACAGTTTAAAGCATGTCTAGCTGAACATTTTAATCTGGTAACAAACATATGAAACAAGATATGACAGAACACCTCAGTTCAGGATGTCCCCAGCCAGTGCAGCGAGTTTCTCCCTCAGTAACCTCAGTGGGATGTTCACAAGCAGCACACCATCAAGAATTTATGACTTTCAGCTACTCAACTTGTCCTTCCTGTCAAAACCTGACAGACATGAGAGGAAATTGCAAGGAAGCTTCACAAGCCTGCACTTTAGCTCACCTGATCTGCAATTAAATGAACTACTTAGGACCTGCAGTGCTTAACCACACTCCCCCCTCACTGCACAAGCAACACCAATAAAACAAACACAACAAATTTTATGGACATGCACCCAGGCACAAATGGCACCCAGGCTGTGAGCATTTTGTTAAAATTATTTAGGAATCATGCAAAGAGTCCTACCTCATAGTTCAGGGAAGGATCAGGGGAATCATCAGTACAGTGAATAAACCTGGAAAAGCAAGGCACGGGCATCAAAATCTGCTTTACATGTAATATTTTAGCCACGGTGAGAAAAATAACCCCAAACTGTGAATCACAAAAACTACTGTTAAATTGTTTCCAACATGTAAAAACCAAGTAAAGGCAATACATCAATAACAAACCTCCTTCTCACAATTATCGGGGCGGGGGGGGGGGAAAAATCACCTCTTTTCTTCTACTGCAATTTAGAAGCACTTAAATCTGGACAGGGATGAGGCCAAAATGTGAGTGTTTATTCACTATTGATTTATTTCTATTTGAATCAATAGTGCTGCTCCTTTCCCTTTGCATTTTTATGTTGGCATAACTGAATTCTCAAAGAACCAGATAAACTTGAGCAATCTAATCCAGTTTCATTGCAGCATGTTTTCCCGAGTACTTTTAATGTTTAACTTCCCAAACCACACAACAGAGACACATCATCATGCCTTACAGCAGCTCATTTCCATGAATAAAGGATGCAAAACAGCACTGCTGCTCGGCACTTCTGATTCCACAGCACAGGATCTTTCTAAATTAAGAGCCTTAAGAAATACTCTTACAAATCTCTTGAGAGAGGGAATAAACAAAACTATTTCCATAACTGCAAGCAGATGTCAAGGTTTTGTCCCTTGTGAGTAGCTGACTCTGTGTGTCTCCTTTCAGGAACTATCAAGAATGGAGGCAGTTATAACCCAAGTCAACTTCCATGTGCCTTTTACAGCAAACCTTGCAAAAATTCTGTAACTTCCAAAGGGAATTTGCAGAAGAACATGCATTTTCCTTCCAATTCTACTCCCCGACCTTGGCAACAAACCCCTCAGACGCACAGAACTGTGCAAAGGGTCACTGCTGAGCAATAGTCCTAAAGGCAACATTTATACCATCTCCTCTTGGCAGTGAACTTCCCTGAGCAACCCAGAAGTCTCCCATGTCTCACATAAGCACTGTGTTTGTAAGACGTGGCTGCCCAGCCTTCGGTTTGAAGCGAAGCGCGACTGTAAGAGTTTGTTCTGTGAGCTGCCAGCAGAAATACACTTCACACGTTTTAGTTTAGACTTTAATATCCACAACACCCAGAAAAGTAGGGCAATAGCTTTCCAAAAGCTCCGTGATCAAACACATCATATATATCTGTAAGCCTGTGTAAACAGATAACAACCTTCAGCTCCAGTTAGGATTCCCCACAATTTAAGATCTGTCAAGGCAAGAGAAACAAACCCATGAGAATTCACGGTTTTGAGACTCAAAATTCCTCCATTACTAGAATATATGCCTGTCATGCTCAGGAAAATATCCCCCCCCCCAAAGCCAAAATAAACAATATATAAAAAGGCAGCTAAAGTCCAGCACATGGGGGTTTACAGTCTCTGCACACTAGGACCTGCATTGCCTCTCAGACTTTCATATCTGAGACTGGGATACCTCCAATGTGCTTCAGTCCTACAACACACAGTCTTTTCCAGCAGTCAAAAAACTCCTGCCTAATGAACAATCAAAATTATCCTCTAACTCAACCCTCAAACATTTTGGACAAGAGCTGTGTGGGGAAGTTAGAACATTAAATCCTCGGGTGCCACCCCAGGCCCCACAGACTGCTGTAGAATCAAGCAAACAGGCAAAATTATGAGTACAGACAAAAACACTGCAAGATCCAGTAAGGGTACTTTTCTTGAGCCTCAATGACACAGGACTGAGTACAAATGAGGAAAAAATGGGAGAACACAGCGAAAGATAAAATAATGTTTTTGTAGTCTTATTTTTCCTTATAACTAGTATCACGAGGATTTGTCAACAAAAGGACATTACTACCACTCCTGTTTTGGGGGTAAATTTTGGGCAACTTGAGGTTGCAATTTTATAGATTTTACCAGTTTCTTGTAGCATTAATTGTTTAGACCCATCTGAACTCATCTATTACAGGTGGCCCTTTGATCTCCAGAGGCGAAAGACTTAGTGGGGTTTCTTTAACCCACATCCTACTTGGGTCTGGAGGTAGTTGAAAGAACAATCAGAAAGACTTCAGGAACTCCAAATTGAGACATATTTGTGCTGTATTTTCTGAAACCTCTGAAAACTGTCATTTTCAATACTATTAAGGGTGAAGGGGTCAAACTCTTTTGCTTATAGGCCTGTGCTGTGGTCAACAGCTTGTTTACAGATTTATACTTAGATGTCAAGAGCAGAAGGATCAAGGTCTCTTTACATACAGCAGCTGTATTTAAACTCCAAATGCATATTCTCCACCACAGGACACATGACACAAAGCCACTATGTAGTCAGTTCTCAACACTGAGAAAAGCAATTTCAAGAAAGTTTGCAAAATCCCCAGTACCTACCCTGCTAAGAAAGCCATGAACTCATTTGCAAATCACTGAGGGTATTCTGTGGATAATTAGGAACTATTATGAATATGATGAAAATTGTAAAATTTATTCTGTACCTGACACTTCCCTGCTATCATCTCATAGCTTATTTTAAAAGCTTAATTAAAAAAAGAAAAAAAATCAAAGGAGAAACTTCTAACAGCCTTTGAACTGTATCTTTATTCCTCGAATATTGAAACTTCCTGGAACTTTAAGGACTAAAAGATATAGGAAATTTAAGCACCATTCAAAAGAGGATCTTGTACCACACTGTAAATTGCTCAGAAGAACGGGGTGGGAGTAAAACCCCAAGAAAAAAAAAATCATCAAAGGCCTCATTTTCTACATCCTCTCATGTGTAACTGCCTTCCTTGAAACAGGTTATATTAAAGCCTAAGCCAACAGCTACTGTTCTGGCTAAAAGGTATTGGAGTGCCAAGGCACATCTTCATAATCCAACACTGCCTCCTATGTCCTGTTAGGAGAACACAGGCTGTTACTCCACATCTCAGAAAAACTTCATCATTTCTTTACCATTTAGAATTCAATATTGAAAACCCCTCTTATAAACACCTAAATACATAAAAAATAGATCTCATGCTGACTGAATGTCATAAGTCAAAGGGCAATCCCTGCAAAAGAAGTTCTCTGCATTAGTTTGCTTTTCAACAAGGCTAAACTTACAAGACTTTTTATTTCACCTCTATGGTTGTAATTATTAAACAACTGGAAAAATAAGAACACTTTAGCATTTAAATCATCCTGTAGAACAGGGACAATCTCTGGAAAAAATTTTAAGGTTTATTAATGAGCATGATATCAATCTTATAATTGAAGGGGCATTATCAGATCATTAGAAATATTGCTAATTTCTACCGGTCTCAAGGTGGGCAATCACTCATGTTTTAACAAAACATAGTCCACCCATTCTAACAGTAAGGAAGAAAACTGTGCTCTAAACCAAAACACCCATCAAGGCTTTAAAGGGATTTTTGCTGAAAAGAGGAGTTTTAATCCCTCAACAGAAAACCCAGTTAGAAAGGGATTTTTTATTAATCACAGATCCACAACACTATGTTTCTGAAAGTCCACATTAAAACCTGAGAAGTTAAGGATCACACCACCCACAAGGTTTTTTGTGAACACAGCTAAGTAAAACACAATGCTGACTTTAAAGCAGAAACAACATCAACTACATTAATGAGTGCATTACTCTGAAGTCTTCGTTAATTTATACAAAATGAACAAGCAGGAAAGTTAACTCATTAGTCTGAACTTTTCAACCAAAGTGTCAACATCATGAGAGAATCCAAACATTTAAAACAGGCAAAGCTTATCTGGTCATACTCAGTACATCTGCATAAAGACCATAATTTTTAATGGTTTGTATTGAAGTGTTGCACGGCTGAAGTTTTCTCAGAACTCGAGATGGTTGAGAATCACAGCAGGGGCAGTTCCCTGACCTGAACAATGGACAGATTGACAGCAGGAAAGCAAACAGGAAATGGGAGAGGAAGGAGGAGGCAAGGAAAGCAGTTTGCCTTAAGTCTCACATCACTGGCTTAAAATTTCTGGATTAAAAAACAAATCTACAAATTGCCAGTGGAAAATGTTTACCATATCATGACCCATGAAGCAGATTTTAAAGTTCATACAACTGAACAGAAAACAAAACAACAACAACAAAAAGGGTATACAGCATTTCAGTTGTTACTTATGCAAGGCAAGAAACTTTTAGACCATGCTGAGTATTAATGAAAGAAGCAGAAACAAAATGCATTTATCCTCCCTCCAAGTTGCCCTTCCAAGAGATTTGGATGTATTATGTATGCAATTTTCATTTGTTCAGCACTTCAGGTTCTTATGCCAGCTATATTTTTAATTTCTGCTTGCTAAGGACTAGGAAACTGGCAGCTAATCAATAGTATAATTAAGGAAGACCACTGTTCTGATTTAGCAATAATCATTCCACTGTTTGGGGACATTTTGTACCAATAACTTAGTAATTTAGAAATACCATGCACAGACTGGACAATAAGACATGCTTTGATCACGTACAAAATATTCATAAAATATAAGATACACAGAGATCAAAATGATTTCCCACAATCATGTCACAACCTTTACTTACTGACCACCCACTAGCCAAGCTGTGCTGTCTGGTGGGGTGTGTGGTCTTATCAGCCTGGACAAGGATCTCTAAATGGATTGAGCCCCTGCAATTTGAGGTGTTGCCTTTCTGCTGGAGGTTATTCTCCCACAGCAGGATCAGTAGAAGGGACTGTGCCTGTTCCAGGCTGCTCAGGCACTTCTGCTCTTAGTCTGGTGTGAACTTCAGGTGAAATCACTGATGGTTCAAGGTAACACCCACGCTGTGAACTCTTACACCACAGGAACTAGAATGTCTTCACTGCCTCTACCACCAGGTCCATGCTGGCTGCAGAGGGCAAGGTGAACAGCTCAGGCACTTACACCTGATTGGAGATAAAACCTGACAGAAAATGCACTGATTTCAGTGTCAGTGAAGGTGGTCGGATCAGTTCATTCTGCCACACAGATGAACACACACAGAGTTGCCACATCTTCAGGTGAGACTTGCTAAACACTTGGTTGCCTCTCAAACTCCCTAGGAAGTGGTTAACCAAACAGGAATTCTGCAAGGAGCTCAGGATACTTTTTGCTGAACCTCTTTATACATGAGGATAGCAGAATACAAAACCCATATTATTTAACATTCACGAAAGGTTGATACAAAGGGTACAGTTCTTTGCAGATGCACAAAACTCAGTCCTGAAAGCCATGACAGCAAAGGAGACATTAAATTTTAGCACTCAGCCCTCTGAGAAAGCCATCCCCCAAGACAGTCCACTTCTCCTTAGAGGAACACCACGAAAAGCAGCTCCTTGGTGAGGCATCAAAGTCTTCTGAGAACCACTATTTACTCACCTCTGAAATGTAAACTATAGATTTCTCATCTCCTCATCTCTTTCATTCCCTACAATCCCAGAATCATAAATTCTCAATCTCATAACTGGTTCCCAAGCCCAGCACACTTTTCAAACTGTCTTCTCACTCCAGCATCTTCTCCCCTCCTCCTCAGTCTCTTCTCCTGCACCTCACAATGTTGCAGGTTAGACATGACATAAAACCCAACACCAGAATTGGCCTGGCAACCTCACCAGCACTCCATAAATGCAGAGGTAAGGATGAGATGCTGCAACCTATCTCTTCTTGGTTTTATATGTATCAACAAACTGGGGGAAGAGAGTTGCAGGAATAAAAAAGAAGGCACGGCACTAATGCAACTGGTTTCACACTTTAAAAAAGAAAATTTCTGTCGAGTCATAAACCACTTGACATGGGACTCTTACTCTTGGTAACCCTCCATAAAGCAGCTAGAGCAAGGATTCTGCACTTGACTGAGTCTCCTAGATATTGCAGCAATACAAATAAGCATTGACTAACTACTGAAAAACAAGCTCTCAGATACCAAGCCATGGATTTCCCCTTTTCTTTGAAATTCTGCTTGTCTGAAAAAAAAATAGTAATCATAGTAACAGGAGTATTAAACTCCAGTAATTTCATTTTCTCTCAGAAAAATGCTGTATTTTAGAAATGAGTGGCATAAATCAATCAGATGCAGGTACTACAGGAGGAAACTAATCCTATACAATTAAGTGCTCTTTTCATGTGAGCAGATAAAAATACACTCTAAGCACATCATATTTGTAATTTTATCTGTAACTGTTATCCTTAGTCACAGTTCCTGGAATGCATTTGTTCCAAGAGGTATAAGAATTTGGGTTCATAATGAGCTCTGGAAATATGTTAGCAGAAGTCTCAGGCCTCTTCCAGGCAGCCACACAAACCTCAATAGCTTTAAAATTTGAAAGGGACGTGGTAATCACTTGCTGTGGAAAGCAACTCAATAAAAATGGTTTTAGCCCACAATGTCATTTTGCATGTGCTACTTTATCATCTCCCTGGTTTGCCTTTGTTTTTTTGGCTGGGTACAAATAATTTTGTCACAAGGAATGTACTCACGGCTGAGTGAGGTCACGAGTAATGAAGTCTGAACTCTTGAAGAGGAGGAAGATGTCACTGAGAGCTTTGCATTTCAGAGAGCTGTTCATTGCTATCCAGTAGGCATCCTAAACAAAGAAGGAGATCATCCAAAAATGCACCTTCATGAGCAGGAAGGAATGCAGTTGAAGATGTATCTGAATATTACACAACATTTGAAATACACACAGAAAATCGGTTTTTTATTTTGAGGAAAATTTCATTAGCTGTTAAAAGAGACACAATAGTTATTGTTTTTCCTAGAGATACCATGTTGAAAGCAGAGCAAATCTATTTTAAAAACTAAGTTTTTGCCTTACTGCTTCCAGGACCTTTCCTGGAATGCCTGATTGAACAGTGTCTCTTGAGAATACGACACAACAACATTTGGGGGAACTCACCCCTACGGTATAGTTTGAGTACCTAAAAATAACTAGAGGGAAGTTTATTGTCTTTTTAAAAAATGTGGGATTTTTCATCTTCACCCAGGCAGTTTTCAACCAGTATCCTGAATAAGAAGAGCCTGATCATCACAGTGTTATCTGTGATCAGGATACAGAGTTTAATGTAAGAAAGTCAGTGCTGCCTTGCATCAGCCTCAGCAAATATGCACCACCACCACCTGGTCCTAATCCACCAGAACAGTTTGCTGTATCACACTCCACTGGTATCTTGTCTATCACTTCTTCCTTTCTCAGAACCACTGGTCTCTTCTTCTTTCCAATGCATTGAGATAAAACAAACAAACAAAAAAATCCACATAACATCTGTTACAACTTTTGGGAGTCAGCATTCTTACCCTTGGAGCACTCCAGTTAAGTTTAGGAAAAACACTTCCACCCAAGGAACTTATTGCTTCCTCAACTTTAGATGTGAACTCAGGGAATTCTGGTGCCTGAACAAAGAAAAACAACAAAAATATTCATTTCAACACATTTAATAGTGAAGTGTAGCCATCTTCTGAACACCATTAGAAATACATACTGCAGAAGAAATAAACATGTCCAAAATCAGTATGAACCCCATAAAAAATAATGTCCTTGTGGAAATAAATTATTTAATAAACAAATCTGACATTCTTTCAATCAGAAAAAACTGAAAATGTTTCCAGTTCTGACTCTCATCACTAACAAGTACCAGGAACTTCAGGAGAAAACCTGAAACTTTGTACCATATATCAAGATATCTGCAACAGCAAACAAATGTCAAAAAAAACCAAACCTTAATTACTTACCTGTTGTTTTATACTTAATGGTAGATTATTGTATACAAATAAGGCCCAATAATATTTAGACTTAAAAATTTATTTGAGAATTAAGCATCTCTATCAACTCACAGGCAATTTGAGTAACAGCTCCTCATTTGAGCTTTAGTTTTACAAACCCTTGTTTTATATAAAGTAATACCTTAACTAATCAGCTCTTAAATTGGGCCTTAAAATAGCTCCTTAACGATATATTGACTAAAAATAGAGGACACACTGCAAAGGTTGGACTAGAAAACCTTGCCTTGTAAAGAACACTGAAAACATAAGATGAGGGGGACAATTCCTCAGGATGCTCTAAACTCCACTCAGAATGTGGTGCTATAGAGGAAAAAGCCAGGTTGCTGACCTTCAAAATAATATGGAAGGATTTCAAGCATATATCAGAGATTTTTCATGTGATAAGATTTATAGCAAGAATACTGCCTGAGTACTTTTAAACTCAACTCAAAGATAACTTCTAGGCTAAAGCTAATTGATGTCTCTAAATCAAAAAAGCCCTCACAGTCACACAAATGATCAAAAAACCTCATGCATTTTGGCATCCCCTTACTGCAGCCTCCCCAAATGCAAACACTTAAAAAACCCTCTCACATTTTAGTGCAATGACCTGGACTGAACTTCAAATATTCTGAACCTTTCCTTGGTACATTACCTAGTCTCCCTGGGAAACTACACTTGGAAAACTGAAAAAAAAAGTGCTTCTCTTATTTTTCATTATCTTTAGAGCTTCAGTCAAGTCTACAAATTGTTCCTGCAAGAAGTAAAACTCTTCATCCACTGCATTCTGATCCAATCTCCTCTTGTTTTGGCAGGAATCAGAAGTCCTACTATATAGGTGGTATCACACACTAAGCCTTCCTAGGGAAATGTTACCATTGTGTCATTTGATTAACACAAGGGAATAAATATACCCACGAGAGGAAAGTTCTATGACTGCACAAACAATCCAGATTCTAACATTTCCTAAATTTTGAATGCCTGACATCAATATTAATGCAAGTTACTTTAAACACAGTACTTTCCATAATCCTGTATTCTAATTCTTCTTCAGAGTATAGAAGGGGCAAGGGAGACAAGTTCTACCTGACGACTCAAGTGGGTCATCAAATCAGAAAAACCAAATCAGAAAAATCCCACCTTTTTATACTGCACCTAATCCAAGGTGATCAATCCCACCCATGAACATTAGGGAGCTAAAGGGCTGAAGTCACAGTACTGATGGCAGAGAAGTGCCATGAGTCTACTAACTCTGGCAGTGACAGGGCAACAGCAAGTTTCAAAAAAAATGCAAAAAAAAGATCAAGGAAGCCTGGTTTGCATCCATCCTGATCCTGATTCTATGCCAGGCACCGTGCAAGGAGACCATAAAGACAGGAAAAATAAAAAAAAAATTATAGGAATAAATGTACTTAGGAGGAAATAATGGCACATTCAGAGAAGAGCTGTGAAAATTGAGCTGCAGGGGCTTCATTTCTTCTGCATCCAGCCTGATTAAATAATTGGGAGATACTCAAAGTGGGGAAAATGAAAGCCAGCTATATTTAGAGCTGCACTTCAGTTCATTTCCTATAGTCTAACAAGTGTGTGATTGTTGGGGATGAAGAAAAGCGTTTTATTTTTAGTCAAATTAAGCCAGCAAAAGTTTTTTGAAGTTACAGACACATACACTGCCATCCATCCAAAATGGTCTGAGAAATGTCAAACACAGCAAGAGATATGTCTGACCAGCAACAAGTTTCGTATCTCAAGGCTGCAAAAAGGAAAACTGCTGAGAAACCCACGTTAGGCTTTTATAGGACCTTACCTTAAGTGTTGTAGTGTTCTCATCATCTGACCACTGTTAAAAACAAATCAAAGGTTACTGGATTCCTGAGGCATCTTTTATAACTTATGAGATGATCAGGATTCATACAGCTCCTACAACACACAGATCAAATCACCACCCCAGAGAGCATAACATCACCATCTTCTGATTATTTTGGCTGTAAATTAAGACAGGAGAAGTACTGTGTATTCAGCAGAAGTGTTATTCTAAAAGCATGGAAAAAAGACACCTATATATTTTAATTGTGATTTATACCACAAACTTGGGACATTTCAAAACTCAGTCTTCCCTGTCTGAAGCTTGTCTCCAGCACTTCCATCCTTAGACCCATGACCCATTAGTTTCACTTCTATTTCTTTTTCATCGTTCTTCTGTCACCTTGTAATTACAACATCTTTCACTGTTTTTCTTCTAAAATGTTCTTCTGACCTATTATGGCCTCAGAAACTTTCACTGGGTCCTGAAGTAACTCCTCCAAATGTATTCCTAATTTCTCAGGGAATGAAACAGCACTAAGTTCAATTCCAACATCCTTCAGAATTCCCTACTCATTATTACAAATACAATTATCAAGAAATAAAAAAAGTCTTCTGTGACAGAGCACAGAAACATTTTAAACCCTCCCTGATGTCATAGCATAAATAATGATGTTTCCATGTTTTTCAGGGCAACTACCACATGATTATTATTTCTGTGAAGAACTCTCCTCACCTACAATTATGCAGAAAAGGTTATACATTCGTATTTTTCTCGAGAGACTTGACATTAAGCTGCATTTTACACTGACCTGTATTTCCTCTGTGTCATCACTCCCCTCCTGAGCATGACTTGGTGGATCCTCTCTGAAACAAAAAATTAACAGGAAAAAAAAATTAAGCACTGGAGTTTGACTTGACCATATCCATTTTATTTCCACAGCATTTCCAGCTGTTGATCTCCAAATGTTTCCATAAGAAGAATAAACCTCAAAACCCCTGGCAGAGAAAAAATCAGAGCAAGTATAGAAAATTAAAGCCTGAACACCCTGCATTAGGCTGGGGCCCTCCCATAAACACTTTGCTTCTTTCATATTAGCAGATCATTTTTTCTTCTAAAAACACCCTAATCAAAGCTTTTCAACACCCTATTTATTAATGATTCTTTTCCAGGTTTACTGTACTCTGACAGAAGCACAAATTAAACTTTTTTTCTAACAAGTTTAGTTCAAATTATGCTTTGCCTCCATACTCCTTTTCCAATTAAAAATCCGTAAAACCTGAGTTCCAGATGTTGACCTGTACATTTCTGATTCTGAGAAGAAAATGTCCTCATACTCTGCACACAGAAAAGAAAGTCCTATGGAAAGTGGATAAACAGCCATTAGTTTCTTCCTGAAAAGTTCCTTTTCCCACAAAGGTGAGATCTGTTGTAAACACTAAAATATATGTGAGAAAGCACCTGACTGCAAATATTCCCTTGAAGCTTTGGGTGACTTTTGAAGTTCTTTAGCCAATATAACTGTGATCCTAAAGGATCTTAAAGGAGCTCTTGAAGACTTATTCCCATTAAACCAGGGTAGGATCAAATGTGTGTCCCTGCCAAAAGTCAACTCTAACAAGATCAGTCTCTGCAGTCCCTCTGTGCAGTTCCATAAGGATTAAACTATCAGTCCAGTTTTTGAGATCTAGAGGTCAAATATTGGTTTACTGAACATCAGGAGTGATCTTGGCCTTGACTGCAAGAAGATCACACTCACTTCTAGGCAAGCAAGTTGAATTCAGATTAAAAATGACTTCCAAAAGGGATTTTAAACTGGAAACATCTTAAATTTATAATTTAAGTCAATCATACAGCTGCCCATTATTCCATTAAGACAGCAGAAATTGTTTGTACAGCACAACTGTAAAGTCAAACCCTCAATTTCAGCTTTTCTGAAGGCTCATTAAAATAAGCAGCTGCTGCTAAGTTGCACAATTCTACATGAGCAGGTGACAATACAACTTCTTATCCAAAATGGTTTAAAAAACAATTCTAATTTCCTTGATTCCCTTTAATAAAAAAGAATTTAAAAAATTAAAAAAGACCTTTCCTCTTTACAAGGTGTTCAAACAGCTTCAGTTTTAAATAAATTGATAGCTGATAAATCAGACACAGCTCTGATTTCGCTCACAGCCTGACTGGTTGGTCTGTGAGAGACGAATTACCAGTCAGGGAATTCTGGAGTGTGGACTGATTTCTCTGTTTGATCATTAACAAGATGCATGCAACAACCATTGCACAAGGAAGCCAAAAGCAGAAAACAAAGAGCAAGGCCTAGTTTCACAACAACTTTTTCTTCCATCTATCCACCTCATTCTTCTCCATCCAAAATCTTGGCACGGGTATACACACAACACATTCAGCCATATCACAGGCATGGACTGTATGTGTGCAAATGCTTATATGAAATCTTCGGATTACTGAGTTTGTGTGCAGCTTATTTTATTGAGAATTAAACTCAGGTAATGTCACTTCACCCCTGGATAGGGCAGCTGGCACAGGGATGGCGTGGGACAGGTCGAGCCTCCAAACTGACCTGACCAGATCCAAGCAAGCAAAGACAAACCAGCAGCTGAGCACCCCAGGGCCTGGGACACTCTGCGAGGAAAGGTGGGAAAAAATGAAAGGACTGTCTCCACTTGGTCGAGAATGAATTTTATTACATGGATTTTAGAATCTGCTTCAGCAAACCAAGTTTCACTATCAACAGTCAGCCCATTCCCAAGCTCATACAGTATGAGGTTTACTGCAGCCAGACTGGACAAATTTAAAAAACCTCATTATGCAAAATACAATGTGTGTATGCAACACAGTGCTGTGAGCATGAAATGGCAAAATGTAAAACGTAAAACATTTTTCTTTACCTTCCGGAAACCACGAGTGTTCCATCATCCAGCAAATATTCTTTCACGTTGTCTGGCAGGGGAAGTATAACACTGGAAGAAAACATGAAAATTTCTTTAATACTTTATTATTAATATTACTTGTTATAATAAAAAACTAGTTGAACAAAAGAATTTGTTTTTTTTTAACAGCACTTTTTTTTTTTCAATAACACTATGTTTTATCCTCTAACACTATGAAAAAACAATTCTCTTTCTCCCCTCTTATCCCTTACCCAAAGGGCAATGCCAATTTTCCCTCCAGGGAAGTACAGGACAAAGAGACAAAAGTTAGAGATGAAATTCATAAAAATGCCCCACTCCTTCAAAGCTCTAAGAAATTTAAAGTAAGTGTGTGGCCTGTGAAGAGACAACATGTTGCTCAAACTAAAGGTTTCCCTTCTGAGATCCAAACCAAAATTAGCCCATACCATCCTAATGCTCCAAAAATGCAGGACTGTCATTAAACTGACCAAAAACAAGCCTGTGCTAACCTTAAAAAACATAGAAGACCAAATACTTTGATTATTAAAAGCCTGATGTCAGCACTTTTTGATCCCACAGGGCAGCTACCTCAAGCTTGACTTTCCTGAGTTACTGGTAGTTCTTGTAACCATCCTGTGACCTGCAGCAGCACCTCAGAAACTGTGGAATTCCCTACGGCTTCCAGAAATACTCAGAAACACAAAGTCAGCCACTTGGTTTGGATCTATTCAGACACAACTTCTTCCAGGAGGAACAGCAGTGTGGATAGTTGGATGTGGATACTGGGAACAGTAAGGCCATCAGCTGGTGCTCAGCATGGAATCCCACCAGGAGAGCAGGGAGTACAGGGTTTCTGGTGTGCCCCAGGGCTGCCCAAAACACCCCCTCAGGGTGTAGGGACAAGACCCCAGCTCTGGGGACTCCAGCTGATGGGTTGATCAAGCCTTCCCCACCTCCATCCCATATCTGCCCTGAATGGGTCCCCTCTGTTTCACCCAAACCTGTTCCAACAGAAGCCCATTTCCAACCCAGCCCAGCCCCACAGAATCACAGGTCAGGCTGGAACAGATCACAGTGGGTCGTCTGGATCCAACCTCCCTGCTCAAGCGGGATCATCTTAAGAGCACATGGCGCAGGATTGTGTCCAGACAGTTCTGGAATATCTCCAGTGAGGGAGACTCCACACCCTCTCCGGGAAATCTGTTGTACAGCACAAATCACAGTGCTCTTCCTGCATGGGAAAGAAGTTCTGCCTCATATTCAGTTGGAACTTTCTGGGCATCAGTTTCTGCCCATTCCCTCTTGTCCTACTGCTGGGCAACACTGAGGAGAGCCTGGTTCATCCTCTGACACCCTCCTTTAGATGTTTATACACATTAATGAGGTCCCCTCTCAGTCCTTACAGTACATGAAGGAACAGATAGGGCAAGACTATTTACAAGAGCATGTAGTGACTGGACAAGGGGGAATGGGTTCAAATTGAAACAGAGTAGGTTTAGATTAGATTAGGTTAGGTTTAGATTTAGTTTAGGTTAGATATCGGGAGATAGGAGGGTGGTGGGGCACCGGTAGAGGTTGTGCAGGGAAACTGTGGATGCCCCATCCCTCAAGTGTCCAAGCCCAGGCTGGACAGAGCTTGGCGCAACCTGGTCCAGTGGAAGGTGCCCCTGCCCAAGGCAGGGGGGTTGGAACGAGATGATCTTTAAGGTCTCTTCCAGCCCAGACCATTCAGTGCTTCTCGAGGCTGAACAGGCCCAGCTTCTCCCGCAGCCTTTCCTCGTAAGAGACAATTCCCTTCATCATCATCCCTCCAGCCCCTTCATCACCCTCACTCCCCTCCTGGACCCGCCCCAGGAGCTCAGCGTCTCTCTCGCACTGAGGAGCCCAGAACTGGACACGGCACCCAAGGAGACCCTCACCAGGGCTGAACGGAGGGGCAGGACCACCTCCCTCTACCAACACTCCTCTACCAACACTCCTCTACCCGCTCCCACCCAGCCCCACACACCGCCCACCCTCACCCCACACCACTCCCCTACACCCCGCCTCCCCCAGCCCCGCACCGCCCTCACCTGCGGATGGTGACGGCCTTGAAGAGCGGGTACCACACGGAGAACTGGCAGTGCACCACCTGCTCCTTCTTCATTCTCCTCCTCCTCCTCCGCCTCCTGCCCCTCAGCGCGGCCGCTCCCGGAAGCTCCGGCTCGGCCCGGAACCTCCCGCGCAGCTCCGGGCGCCGCCCGGCGCCATCGCGGGCGCACCGGCCCCGCCCCCGCCGCCTCAGCGCTGCCGGCGGAGCCGCCGCTGCTCCCGCGGTGCCGCTCTCCGCTGCCCTGCCCCGAGCCGCCGAATAGCTGAGTAACGTGTCGCTGTTTTAGGTCCTGCTGTCGTCTCTGTGCCTGTCTGTCCCCCCGCATGGAGTTGTTTCGTGGAGTCATGGAGTGCAAACGGGTTGGAAGGGAACTTAAAAGATCTCGTTCCAAGGGCAGGGACACCTCCCGCTAGACCGGGTTGCTCAAGGCTTTATCCAGCCTGGCATTGAACATTGCCAGGGTTGGGGCATGCACAGCCTCCATGGGCAACCCGTGCCAGTGTCTCACCACCCTGATATCGAATTTCTTCCTAACGTCGAACCTAAATTTCCCCTGTTTGAGTTGGTACCCACTACTCCTTGTCCTGTCACTACAGTTCCTGATGGAGAGTCCCTCTCTGGCTTCCCTGTAGCCCCTTCAGGTACTGGAAGGTGCCCTGGGGTCTCCACACAACCTTCGCCCCTCCAGGCTGAACAGCCCCAATTCCTCAGCCTGTCTCCATAGGGCAGGTGCTCCAGTCCCCTTATCCCCTCCTCTGAACTTGCTCCAGCAGTTCCACGTCCTTCTTATGTTGGGGATGCCAGAGCTGAACGCAGCACTGCATGTGGGGTCTGACCAGAGCAGAGCAGAGAGGCAGAATCCCCTCCCTTGCCCTGCTGCTCCTTTTGTCACAGTCCAGGACACTTTGGCTCTCTGGGCTGCCAGCTTGCACTGCCAGCTCATGTTGAGTTTATCATCAACCACTCTTTCCTTTTGTTTTGTCCCAAGTCAGTAATAACTGAGTAATATGTTCTTTTTTAAGCCACGTGGTTCTGCTGTCGTCTCTGTGCCTGTGTGTCCCCTGCATGGCGTTGTTTCCATCCGGTATTTCCTCACACGCTCTCCCATCTGCTGTCTGGGGACGTCTCCCCCAGCCCTCACAGCTGTCTGGCAGTTCGATAACAACGTGGAGATACTGCTAACCCTCCTCTGCTCATGCGAGATAGTCCTTGTTGTTGCTGTTTGTCCTGCAGTTATTTTTTCATGTTTTACTTGGCACTGAGTGGGTCATGCGTGCTGCTAAATACTATGACAAAAATTAAGCATTTCCTCCCCCCATTTTCTCCCTCTCCCTTTTTCCCATCAACTTCCGCTAATTAATTAATTTTGTTTCTAGAATTCCTTTTTGTTTTAGCCACAAGTTTAAAGTGACTTGGGAGCTTTTAATGATGTTTGTCATCAGCACACATATATCAAAGTGCTGTTGGGTAAATTGTGCATAAAAGATTGCCAGTGTCCCTTTTGCAGGTTATTTATAAGAAAACCTGTATTTTGTTTTATCTTGAGCTTGCTTTAGGACATCATTGCTGAGCTTTCATTAAATCTGGTTGCTGCCAGCTGGGATGTGTGTTTGGATCAGAGAATGTCTTCTGAAAAGTGATTTAGAAAAGCTAATCCATATATGTAAGGGTTAATATTAAAGTACAGTTCTGACACTTTGGCTTCTCTCTTGAGCTGAGTCACAGGCCTCAGTTGGCTTAAGATTTTTACTCCTGGGAAGGATAATTTTTGAACTGCAGAATGACTGGCTGTTGACTTCAAAGAAAGCCACTCAATAAAGGAATAAGCAATGGGAATAAAGTTACACGTTTTATAAATGGCATGCCTTGTGCATGACTGAGTTTGACCCCAACATGAAATAAATGAAAGAAGTAGCATGATTTGCCAGCAAAAGCCTGTAACACTGTCCACAAAAATTGCTAGAGAAACCAGAATTGGGCCAAACATTTGTTTTTCCCCATAATTTATAGTTTGAGTGCTGTTGGTTCATGTTAAGGCAGCTGATAAATGTGAGCACTGTGACATATTCTTAAGACTGCATTGATAACTATTAAAAATGTATATTCTTAGAGCTCATGTAATCCTAAATGAGCCAGCCAGGTTCCCAGGCTGCTGTGTGAGCTGCCTTGTGTTTTTAATTCAAATGATTCAGTGGGAATTTTGTGATAGAAGAAGAACCTTCCTGTCAGAGGGCTGGAAGACAAGGTCTGTTCTGAAGCCAAACAGGGCTTTAGAAACCTAATGTTGTAGTGTTAAATTCAATTTTCAGTTGCAGCTAATTTTGTTCACGAACAAGAGGTGTTGCCACCCTTGACAGTATGACCAACGTGAGAAACCAGAACTGCAGCCCTTGTTTAACCACATGGCATTTCAGCTTCATAACAGCAACGACTCTCACTTCTTACAGCCAACTGAATTTGGAAAAAATTACTTTTTGGTGGAACTTTTAAAAATGTCACTATACATAGAATTACTGCACCCACTTGTGGAGGAGGCCCGAACTACAGAAGCTGAGACAGAGCAGTTTCCTCTCTCTTTGAGGTGTTCACCCGTTTTAGATTTTAGTGATAATTCAAACGACTGAAACTGTATATTTTTTGTTATTTTAAGTAGCAAGTCACCCTTGAATCTGTCAGCAGAGAGCAAGCTGTGTTGAAAAGCCATGAGATGAGGTTCTAGTATGTTTTTGTAACTGATGTAGGTGAGTATTTATCCTGTTGAACAAACCATTAGTGGGATTTGGGGAACAACTCTGGTAGTCCACGTTTGAGAGAGATACACTGATGCTTGTAAGGTTCTGCAGAAGGATTAGTGTGATCCATGGAACAGGATTTCCTGTGAGGGAGAAACTAAAAGAGGAAGATGTACTCAGTCCCATCCAAAAAAAAAACCACCTCAACAAGGATATGGTTCTCTATCTACTCCTCTGGTGTATTTATATTGGCAATGCAAAATGCTGTAATTCTGTCCAAATGTGGGAGGTGAATTTGTTGTAGCTGGGTTTGTGAGGTTTTTATGTTTTTAAAGCTTTATACTTCAGGCATCACCCAGAGCCTCCTTTGTTTCCTCTGGGTGACCAGGAACCTCTTGGAACTGCTGTCCTGGGCTGGGCTGCTTTTGCATAAGTTTGGTGGAAAGCTTGATCTTGTATTTGAGAGTCACAGCAAGAGACCATGGCCATTGTCCAGATAAAACTCTTAAATCCTAAGTGAAGGGAGTTCCAGACATTGCTGACTCAAGAACAAGTGGGCAACAACTGACTGACCTAACATGGGATAGAAATTGGAAGATAAGCAAGTGAGGCTCTTGAATAGTTTTTCATACAAATAGGAGTAAGGTAATAAACCTGCATTGTTTTGAGTTGGAGCTTCATTGCTTTAAGAAAAGACTATAGAACGTATTTTTGAAGGAACAGTTGGGTTTAACAGGTCAGGGTTTCTTTTCAAGACTTATGTCACATAAAACCAACCTGAATGTTTGGCCTTGAATGTTTGGCCTGCTTCATCCAAAAACACTGTCTTGAGGAAGAGCCTGCCCTGTGTGCAAACTGAGGAAGTGGATTTATGTAGGTTAGTTTTACTCCTGCTGATAAACAGAAATGTTTAGTACTACCTATTCCTTTTAACTACTTCTTGGAATTAAATCCCAGTCCAATACGTAAGAAAGCTGATTGTTGCTCTTACATGTTTCACAAATGTGCAGTAGATGTTATCATAAAAGAATGAAGATGGAGTGAAAAATGAAACTGCTAAAATTTAGTGTGACAAGAGAAGGTCTTCACATACTTCTGGTGCTCTTCATTGCTAGAGACCACACAGAGCCTTATTAAACCATAGTTGGAGCATGGAAAGATTCCTGTTGACTTCATGGAAAGTTAATGGTATGGAGGATAGACATCTTTAAGATTATCTTGTCTCTCCTGGTGTTTAAACTGGTTGGCTGCTTCTCACTGGCTTTTGCTTTATGATTCATGATGATTTTCAGGACTTCAGGATTCCAACTTAACAGAGATGAGCTTCCTTGCTGTGTCTCTTTGCTGAAAGTGCTTTGGGCAGATGTTCAGCTGCCTCTTGCAGGGTGTTGGGCACATCATTCCCAGTGAGAGACTGACCTGCTTTGGTCACACCAGCTCCACATGCCTCCTGCACTTTCAACGTGTGGCTTTTTGACCTTGGTTTTTGGTGGAAGGTCGAGTCATGTCCGTGTTTATTTGTGATGTGTGTAAGGTGGAGGTAGGTTCTAGTTCTGATTCCTAATAGCACACAGTTTTCACCACTGAAATCCTCTTGGTATAAGGGTTTTTTTCCACTTCCACAGTGGAGTGTGTGGTCCTGTTATCCACACACTGTTGGCAGAGGATTTCACCCAGATCAGAATGAAACAATTTGACTGAAGTGGATGAATTTTGTTTATGTGTGTGTCTGACATTTGAATAGTTAAGAAGGGTGTCTTTGGCCAGCATAACTACTCAGCAGCTGACAGGACTATTACAACTATGCAAGTCAGGGTTTTGATCCAAATTTACATTTCTCCATTGAGTTATTTGACTCTGAAACCATTGGGTGGAGCTGAAAATGTGAACTGAACTTGCCATCACACGTCCCTGGCTTCCTCCAGCAAGTTACGTTTGTTACGTTAGAATGCAGAAATGAACCTTTTAACTTTACACCGAAATCAAATATTGACTTAGTTTCATACATATCTGGACTTTGCACAGGGGGGGAAAGCCTGACATTCCGGAAAATGGCAGCTGAGAGATCCACAGAAGTTCCAAAAACAGCTAAACAATTCGTCGTTAAGGAAGAGGTACAGAATGCCTGGGTTTAACGTGTGTTGTTGTAAATAACAATTATTTGCGACTGATCAGAGTGTTTGTGAGTGCAGAGTACAAAATGCTGTAAAAATCTTTTCAATAGACAAAACACTTCTTGATGGTCAGAGAGTTTAAAAGGGGTGACATTTCTCTTTGTGGAAATAATCATACAGATTATCAACGGGGAGAGAGAAATCTACAGTGTTACAGTATTTTAAGCTGCTGCTTTTTGTTTCAGATTTTGCATCTGATTCTTGTATTGTCTGTTCAGGAGGTTTGCAATGTTCAGAAATAATGCTGATACCTCTGAGAGACCTTACAAATCAGTGGGTCATGAAACTCAGCCTTGTTTTCTGTTCCTTTAAGAAGAACCACTAAGGGTTTCCTTAACACTTAGGATTGTACCACCTTTCGTGTTTTCTGAAAGGGTTTGAATTCAGATAATTGCTGTTCTAAAGACATGGGTGAGGAAGTAATAAGATTAATATCAGGTCCTGAGGAAGGATTCTGGAAGTACTTCTGGGTGCTTATTAGGAGCACTTTCACCCTAATTTAAGCTGCCTCTATTTGTTTCAGTTCCCTTTTAAGTGAATTCTTAAAAGTTAATCTTTGGTGTTAAGGCAGGTTTGGCAGCAGCCTCACGCTGTTGTTACAACACAGATGTAGTTTTTTCTATTTGTTCTTCTGTGGAGTAAACACAATCTTGTCATTCCTTTAGGTTTCAAGGTACAAAACCATTTCAGGAATTAAGAGATTTGTTTAGATTATATTTATGTCTTTTCCCTTGGATATTTTTTTAATATGAATATATCTCAAGCATTAAGGGGTTTCATTTTTGAAACTTTTTGGGTTTTTTATTAAGACCTATTTTCTTGCAGGCAGAATTTTCATTTTATTCTCCTTTTTGTTTGTTTTTGTGTGGGTTTTTTTTGGTGGTTTTGTTGATTTGGTTTGTTGTTGTTTGTTTCTTTGTTTTCATAATGCCTCTTTGTTATCCTCTTTTAAAATATTGTATTTTTTTGTGTCACCAGCAGTTTATAATTGGATCTTACCTATTTTAAACTATTTAGGTTTTTCAGTCATTTTGTGGGCTTAATACAGGGAAGTATTTACCCTGCCTCTGCCACCAGCCTTTCTGTTAGAAGTGGTTCTGTAACTCAGCAGTAACTGTGTGGTCTGATGTTGGAATACCTTCTTCCATGAAAGTGGCAGCTGATTTTATTTCATTTCTCCTGTTTCTGGGAACACACAGTCAGGCTGTTGTAAGCAAAGCAGATGTTCTTTGCCCATCAAAGTAATACACAAAGCAACATAAATAACTCATTTGCAAACAAGTTACATTAAAAGAAGTAAACTACTGGGCTAATACCTAGAGATTTTTCCCTTTTAAGTGAATTACATAAAAAAAATGAGGAAACCTCATAGGGAAAACAAACTCATTCAGCTCAGAAAAGACATTTTGTCATGGTGTTAATGCTAAGAACTCAATCAGCAGCTCTCAGAAATCCTGAAAGGACAGGTATGTATCAGTCTCACAGCTGCAGGAAACAGCAGTTACACAAGGCCACAACCTGAGATCAGGGAAAGGAAAGTTTCAGGATAGTTTGGGTTTCAGTCTTTCATTCCCAGCTGTTGGGCTGTGCTCTCTGCTGAGTGGACACTCAGGAGCACCAGTGTAGGTAAAGTCTCTGCAGCCCAGAGACCCTTTTTTGCTGAAACATGACCCTTGCAAAATCCTTCTAAAAAATGAGGACTTTCCAGTACATAAAATCCCACTGAATTCATTGAAACTTGATTATAAAAGTCATATTAAGAAAAGTTATTTTCTTGGGCCTATTTTCTTTTCCCATTCAAGAACTTAGAGTAAATGTTTTTGGGTTTTTTTCCTGTATTAGCAACAGGAATGTTGTTGCACATTCCTGCATGTATTGTGATGCTGAAATTTTTTCCTTTAAAGAATCCAAAAATAGTTGTGTTGTTTCTCCCAAAAAGCCCCCAGATCTTTGGGATTAATCTTATAATGTATTTAACAAAGAATTCTTTGTTTTAGGTAATCGCAGAAAGAAAATGGTTGAAGCTTGAAGAAACAACTTACACCGATCCCTTTGGGAAAACCAGGTAAGTGCCTCTGTGGTATTTCAGATTCCTGTAATGTTCTCAGTTGTGCAGACTGGCCCCAGGCTAGAGAACATGAGCATTACCAACCCATCACTCCACACAAGATGAGAGCTGTTCACTGTGCAGTTCCTTTAGAATTCCTGCTGTTCAGAGAAGGGGATCTCACCCCAGCAGATGTGCTGCCATGTGGGATCAAATTTGGCTCCTAAATCCTCTTGGGCACATTGAACCTGGGATTATGTTGCATTTCCAGCTCCTTGTAAAGATGCTACACAGAAGCAATTCTAGACTATGGCAATCAGTCCATCCTGTGGCTTTTCTGGTTCTTCATTAAGGGCTCCTTTTTCCCTGCTGATGGTGCTGGATCTTGCATATTAGTGACAAATTAATGTCCCTTGTATAGTATCATGTCTGTCCAATTCTCTTGTACACTTTACTGTTGCTGTATTTATCCAGATGTGACACCATGGCTTTAGTTCCCTGCCCTTAATGTGGTAGACTCTGGACAGATATCTTTCTCTAATGCCTCTTAGTTCATCAGCAAAATATCCTCTTAAAAGTAGCAAGATTGGAGCTTCTGTAGAAGGATTTATATTGCTGGTGGGGTTTTTTGGTTTTACTCATCCCATTGCTTATGTTGAGAGAGAAGCTTGTGTCTTCCTTGCCTGTGTGCTCCTTATGTGCTCCAGCAGCTGAGCTGAGAGTTCATAATTCACCCTATAAACCTTATGCAAGAGCAAGATAAAAGATGGAATTCACATGGTCTGTTACAAAATTGTACTTCAAAATCTGACATGTTTTATACATAGATTGCTTTATTTTGCTCTTTTCCAAGATGACTTTTATAAGACTTGCCTGTTCTGTGACAGTCATTTATGCCTTTCCCTTGTTTTTAGTGATTTAAATGATCATTAATTAACTATTTTCTCTCTCTCTCTTTAAGTAGGCAAAACAAAATGATGCTACAGATATTTTATAGTGTATGACAGGGCCTACCCAGGACCAGCTGCTTTCTTAGGAAGCCTCACTATGTGATGATATATTTTGCTTTTAAATGAGAGTAGCAAGGGTAGAAGACAAGTTACATATTCATTTGTTCTTTTCTCTGTGTTAAACAGAACTTGGGAAAGTGTAAAGCGGACTGGCAACAAGAAGGGAGTCACAGCTGATGGTAAGACATTGGTGGCTTTTTTTTGGTGGCATTTTTTTCCTGTGGAAGTTCTGATAAACTCACAGTGCAGACTTAGAGCTGAGCTGTTTCTGAGCGAATGAGGATGTGGAGCAGGTAGCTCAGCAGAGCTTGCTGTACCCCAGAGCTAATGAAATGCCAGCTTCAGTGCTGAACAATCAGATCCCAAGATCACTGGATTCACTTTAGGGTGATGGAGCAGTTCCAAAGACATGGTGGATGCCCTGATACAGAGTAGCTCACAGCCTGGTGGGTTGTTAGAGGGGCTAAGGACACAGTTGTCTTTGGGCACAAGAGGAACATCATTTAGCCATGAGAGCAGCATAGGAAGGTTCATAAGGTTCAATACAGAGGCTTCCAGAGAGTCTCTGCATGAAGGAGAGCCTTTCCCTAGATATTGGTGGGCTGAGGGTGAGTCTTGCATCCTAATGTGCCTCTCATTTGCTGGGATGCTTTGAAGATGCCGTTTGGGGCTTTTATTTCACCTTGATATAAATGATATAAGGAGCCCAAATTCCTCATTCAGGATTCTGGAGCAGGCATCTAAATGTTTAATGCTCACAGTTGCAGTGCTTGGGTTCCTCTCCAGATCTAGCACTAAATACTCACTTTCTGCTGTACTCAGACTCTCTGTCCTCTGTGGCTGTTGCAGGGGTAGCAGTGATTGCAGTGCTGCAGAGAACTCTGCACTATGACTGCATTGTCCTGGTGAAACAGTTCAGGCCCCCAATCAACGGCTACTGCTTGGAATTCCCTGCAGGTAAGTGACTGAAACATTAGGATGAGTCACATATAGTTCAGTGTGCTTAGATGTGCTTAGAGTGTCAGCTGGAAACTGTGCTGAGCTCAGTGTGCTATCCCAAAATAGGAATATTTGATAATGAAGAAAACAAAATGAGCTTGTTTCAGCAAATTGGAGAAAATTCTCTCCACTTCTCCTTCCTCTAGGAGTCAAAGCATTCAGCTTCTTTCCCTCATGAGAATATTTGTGCCGTTTCCTGGGAAGGTAGCATGATTCTGTAGATGATCAGTTAAGGATGTGAGGAGCAGCACGATGAATCCAGAAGCTGGAATCCTTCCTAATGCTTCAGTTTATCCCTCTGTAAATACAGGGCAGTGAGGATGTTTCACCTCTTCCATAACACTCGATTAGGTCTTGGGATGGGTATTGCAGTTAAGTGGTAGGCTTTTAATTATTCTTGTATATTATTTATCTCACAGGCCTCATTGAGGAAAACGAGTCAGCAGAAAGTGCTGCACTGCGAGAGCTGGAGGAAGAAACTGGGTACAAGGGGGAAGTCATTGAATGTACTCCAGGTCTTTGCTTTTTTTTTGTTTTCCCACCAAAGCTACTTCTGTCTTTGAAGGCTACTCTGAATGTCTAAAATGCTTTAAAGCATAGGTAAAATCTATGCAGCAAAGCCTACACAGATTAGCAGAGCAGCATCTCATGGCTGTATCAGTGAAACTTTGGTCCTTTTGTGAATCAGTTGCTGAGCTTCTGCTAAACATACAGGTCTGAAGTAAAAGTTGGATGTCTGTAGGGAGAAAACTGCCATTAATCAGGATCCTACACAAACCCAAATTATTCAAGCTGTGATTTGGCATTTTAGTATAAATGTCTAAATTACTGGACTTCTGTGAACAGCATCTGAGAACTTAGGTAGAAAAAAACAGCTGCACGATGCAGTGTGAGTGGAGGTCACACTCCTGTCAGCAGTGAGGAGGTGACAGGGCTCGGGATTTCCAACTGGAAAGAAGGAGAGAATAATTAAAGTAAATTCAGAGATCCTTTGGAATGTGATTATTGCCAATCCCATGCTTCCTACATAAAATGAAGGTAAAACAAGGATCAGAAATCAAACTTGACAAGGTAGAAAGGTAACTTAGATACGATTTCAAGGCAATGTCATTGCAGTTGAGACCTGATTCTCAGTTATTGGTTACAACTCCATGCTGGGGACAGAGAGGTGGAAGCAGGTGATGGCAAAATTAGACTCCAATAGACTTAGGAAGTCTATAAGGGGTAGTTTGTAGTTAAATCTTCAGTCTGTGGAATGGAAAGTAAACTTAGCTGCTGAAAACAAGTCTTACCAGGGATCTGAGAGTTACAGAAACATTTAATTTTACCTTTTCTCTTTTTTTTTTTTTTGTAATTTAATGTTACATTTAAGAACATGTGAAAGCAAAGTTTTCACAGAATGTATGAGAAATATATGTTCTGTGGTATCAGATACATTTCTGTGAAAGCTTTTGTTACAATGTCAAGTTGCCTGACTCCTGCTTTGGAACGAAATCTCTCCATGTGCTTGTTTGGCAGCTCTGTACTTGGACCCAGGTATGTCAAACAGCACCACACACATCGTGAATGTCATCATTAATGGAGATCGGGCTGAGAATACGAGACCTAAGCAAAAACTTGGTGAGTTTTCTACCACTCATTTGAAAATTTTGAGAAGATAACAAAAGGATGGGTTTAAAAGAACTGACCCCATCACTGCATCTCTTCTGTCCCAGCTGATTTGGATGCTGCAGGTCCTTAAAATCACATCCAGCAGTCAAGATTAGCAGAGCCTGTCTCTACTAATTCACTGGGGAGGCCCAGATGTGAAGTGTCAGCTTGGTGCCAAAGTGTCATTTTGGTGCCAAACTTCAGTGAGGGCCACGAGCACTTGAGAACCTACATACTCCTCTTAGTTGTAGCTTCACTCTGGAAGTAATTACAGCATCAGTCAGCTATCCAAATGCTTTTTAATTGTAAACTCTAGTGTGTTTCAAATCCCTGACCTTACTACTTGTTTTTCACTTGCAGATGATGGAGGTACGTAACGTGACCGTGCTCCCATTGGCAAGCGTGATCTTCAGATCCCAAGTTTTACTTAGAAAATGTCAGTTAAAACTGGTTTTTATTTGTGCTTGGTTAATCTCCTGACCCTAATCAAATGTGCCCGAGATTGACTTTGGCCTAGACATGAAAATTCCTGTGGGGCGTTATCACGTCAGTTAATCTTTCCAAGTATTGCACCTACAGCAGCAGCATCTCGGGAAATACAGATCACTGAACCCACAAGAGCTGTAGGTCAAACCCCAAACACAAGTAATTCAGAGAGACAGGGGAGGTGTAAGCCAGCACAAATCCATCGTGAACAAACCCTTTTGTTTTGTGCTGATTTGATCTTGAAATGCATCTCCAATCCATTCCTGCATCAGTAGAAGCCAATCAAAAGCCCACTTCAGCCATGTATTTTCCATTCTCAGAAGGGAAAAGGTCTCCTTTTAGCTGTCAGCTACACTTTTTTTGCAGCTGTTTGCCAGCTTCTTTCTGCCAGATGTGTTTTTTAATGACCCCAGTCACTGCCTTCCCCCATTTAATCACCTTTTTCTGACATATGAAGGCTCACAGCTTTTGGATGGTGATGACTCAGTTTCTTTCCCCTTCTAAGTTGCAAGGAACAGGACACTGAGGGGAATTTCTCTCCTGTTCACTGATTTTTTTTTTCTTCTCTCCTAGAATTTGTGGAAGTTATTTCAATTCCAAAGAATGACCTACTGCAAAGAATTGATGGTAAGAGCTTTCTAACACATTAAATGCACAAAAGTGAGCTTCAGGCACCCCTTAGCTTCTCTTCTCAGAGCTACTCGTGGCATTTCTCATCCTAGAATACTGTATCTTAAGCAAAAAGCCATGAGAGACCTGACCAGGTATGAGAGTTGGCATTGAGAATTCCTGTCTGGAATGCTACACATCTTCATTTTAGTAAAGGACTTACATTTCTGTAGAGGAGATGTTTTGACAGCACCTCATGGTTTGTTTTGTTTTGTTTTCAGAACTAGTAGCAGAGGAACACCTTGCAGTAGATGCCAGGGTTTACACTTACGCCCTGGCTCTGAAATGTGCAACAGAAACACCTCTCCAAGTTCCCTTCATGAAGTTTTAAAGCTGGACAATGAGAAACTTAGTAGAAAACTGCCCAAGTCAGATGGCTTAGAAGCACAACTCTTCTTGTAATCAAGGTCCTTTGCTTTACTTGTAGAGCAAAAAAAAATATTTGCAGGAATGATTCTGATATTTTTATTTGGAATTATGTAACTGACAAAAAGCATTTCTTTTAACTGCTCTATCAAGCCTTGACGGACTCTCCATAATAAAAATACTGTTTAATTTTCAGAATTGCTCATTTCTCACTACATTATTTTCTGCACTTGTGGATAAGTATGAGGAAGACACCAAGGTAACTGTGGTTGGTGTTGTACCACATGTTCCAAAGGAGGCAAGTGGCAGGAAGAGCCACACTCTCTTCCCACACACACACACACAAACAGCAGTACTCAAACAGCCTGGAGAACAGGAGACTGAGGGGAGAACTTGTGCTGGTCTGCAGCTTCCTCATGAGGGAAGCAGAGGGGCAGGCGCTGATCTCTGCTCTGTGGTGACCAGGGACAGGACCCAAGGGAATGGCCTGCACTTGTGTCAGGGGAGGGGTAGGTTGGGTATTAGAAAAAGGTTCTTCCCCCAGAGGGTGGTTGGGCACTGGAACAGGCTCCCCAGGGAAGTGGTCACAGCACCAAGCCTGGCAGAGTTCAAGAAGTGTTTGGATGATACTGTGGGGTACATGGTGTGACTCTCAGGGATGTCCTGAGCAGGGCTAAGGGTTGGACTCAATGATCCTTGTGGGTCCCTTCCAACTCAGGATATTGTGCAATTCTGGGATTCTATGAACTAGAGGCAAGTCTCTGTGACAGGAGCAGTGACAGCAGCACAGGGACACTGTCCATGCTCTGGCTGCAGCATTTGAAATGGCAATTTCAGGAACCTCTTATTATGATTTAGTCCTGAAGATGCTGTTTCCTTCTCTCAGCCCAAACCAAACTATCCAGAAAGAAAAAATTGGTTTGTTGCTCTAAGAAAACAATGACAATGAAGGTGACAACACCCATCCACTAGTGCAAACCAGAACTGTGTGGGATCCAGCCAGGGATCCCGCTGAAGGTCTGAGGTCACTTACATGTCCCCAGAGTGCACAGCCTTGCAGTTTTCCCTCTCTGAGGAAACACCCACCATCTGTGTATCCAGGCTGCACCTTCATTCAGTCTGAGCCCTTCTTGGTAAATCTTTCCCAACCAACCTTCAGTGCATCTGCACACAGTGGGCTGCTTCTAATTATGTAAACAGCCACCACTGCTGAAAGGTCAGGATCAGAGAGTTTTAATAAACACACGCCAGTATCAGCCTTGCCTCTGAAATGGATGAGGACAGGCATGAGTAATTAGGGAGATCTTCCCAGCTTAGAAAAGAAGCAAAAAACTTGCTTAAGATTTTCTTACCTTCACAAGCAACACAAAGTTACTTTCAAGTTAAGCATGAGAGAAGAAAGAAGAAATGTGACATCAAAGGGAAAAAGTAATTGATTACAGTAGAGCAGAAGAGCTCAATGAATTTAAAAGGAGGAATCTTGAGGTTTGATTTTTTTAATTAAGGCTGCTAAAAACTAATCAATTATATTCTAGAAAGAGGAAGAATAAAGAGGGAAAAAGGGAGCTTTCCAAACCTACTTCACTATCAAGGCATGTTAGAAATGATAAAAAACTGCATATGAATGACACCTGGCACAGATAAGACCCACGAGAGAGTTTAATTAAATAAGTTTATTGTCTAACGCGCACAGTTGTTACATCGCCGCTGTAAAGTGCGACAGGTTTCCAGCAGGAACTCCCCGTTCCCCTCTTCCCTCCTATGAACACACAGCTTCAGGAACCAGGCCTTGTTCTTTAGACTCACAAAAGCGAAGTGGACATGAAGTTTCAGTGGCACAGTTTTCACAAGTACATGTTTAAACAGAACTGCTGGGCCGCCCTGCCAGCGTGACAGGCGCTGCCAGGATGTCCCACAGGAGCCCAGGGCAGGAGCCCAACGTGCCCCAGGATGCAGCAAATCCACCCCAGAACCAGTTCACAGGTGAGATGAGTATCAGCCCGCGGTAAAATGTTTGCTTGCCCACCCTTGGAGCCAAGGGAAAGGTGCCTGGGTGGAGACACCGCAACGGAATAAGGAGTGCTGAGTTCAGTGATGGGGAAATGGGAGTTAAAAAAGTATAAAAAATTAATGTATCATACACGTACAAATAAATTTTGTCAGGAATACTGGCACATGGCAATCTGAACTCAGGTGGGTTTTTTCTTCCTATTAAGGGCAGGGAAATTAAATTAACATTTTACTGCTGTGTGCAAAGGCGTTTTTACCGCTCTCAAACTGATACATGTTACCATCTCACTGTAGTGTCTGAACAGCAAGGTAGATGAATTGTTTCCAGCATTACAGGCAACACTAGATAATAATACTTAAACAAGATAATGTAAACTTTATTCTTAAGGCAGCTGGTACTAATGCTGCACACAGGCATTGCTCAGTGCCCACGACAGGAATGGGACACGTAGCACTTGAAAACAAGTCAAAAGAAAAGAGCATTATTCGACTAAATGACGCATGTTGTCAAAATACCTTCCCTTTCACACAAACCATGAAATATTTGGACATCTAGAAAAATAATGCACCTACTCCTCCGACTTCAGCCTGTTCTTTTACAAATATTTCAAAATACTGATAAATAATAGTGACTGCAAGCAGGATGCCAGTGCCGGAGCCGATGGCTCCCAGAAAGTCGGCCAGTACTGAAAGGGCCCCGATGCACAGACCACCAAATGCAGCCGCCGTGGGGATATACCTGTACCAGAGGGAAAACAGGAAAGAAAAGGGTATTCACAACCATGGATTTTCATCTGAGGATTCTACCAACATATCTACTATGAAAATGACCAACTAGAATAAACTGAAAGAAAGCAGGGTTAGACTGGATATCAGGAAGAAAAATGCTATACTGTGAGAGCGGTGAGGGACCGGCACAGGTTGCCCAGAGGTTGTGGATGCCCCATCCCTGGAAGTGTTCAAAGCCAGGTTGGATGGGACCCTGTAGGATGACACCTACACACGGTGTAGTGAGCAGCATCCCTGCCCACGGCAGGGGGGCTTGGAAGGAGATGATCTTGAAGGTCCCTTCCAACCCAAACCATTCTGTAATTCTATGAATATCAAGCAATAAATTTAGCATTGCAAATGCAACCCTGCCATGAGCTCTTACTGTCCTCCAGTAGAAACACAGTAGAAACTGAAATAAATACTCAGTGATAGGAAATCTGTGTGAATAACCAAACACAGGCAAAGCTTTTCAATTCACAGTTTGAACAACTTTACATGGATATGTGCCATGGAACCTCCACAGTACTATGAGTAACTGCTTTGACTTAAATATGTAGGGATCAATCTATCTTTCAATATAGCTCTGCAGGCTTTACTTGCTGTGTAAAATACAGCTTTGGTAGTGCCATGCTAGGTCAGTAATGGTAATAAATAAAACACTTGTGAAAATCAAGGTATCTTTCTTTTACAAACACAGAAGAGATTCAACTCAAATTCCCTCATTATGCCACTTAAAAATCAACACTACAGGTTTACCTCTATCCTACTGCTATAACATCTTGTGCTTAACTAGGAAAGACAGCTACACGGGAAGAATCTTCCCATTTGCAGTGAAAACAGGTCTCAGATTTTTCTGAGAACATATATTCTAGTTGACATTTCCCCTGCACTCTTAATCATACAGCTGGAAGTCAACATTTCCTTACCTGTTAAGCTCGTGAACCATTGAGGTATCCCTGTGGCCTCTCATCACCATTTGCTGTTCTTTGAGTTGCTTGGCAACCTGCAAAAAACATTATTTTATGGAACTGCTGCAGTGTTTCACAGTCACCAGACATTTAGTGAGGGTAACAACTGATCAGTCAGTGGCTGGTCAGTCCTAAACCAGGGGCACTGTTTGAAAACAGGCAGAACACCTACATCTTTTGCTGATGAGCCAGACACCTCGATCCAAGTCTTGGAGAAGAACGCACAGGATCCCAACATAAATATTATATAAACTATTACATGGACAGGATCCTCAAATATTGCACCCATGGATTCTGGAGGGGACAAGTAGTAGCACAGGCCACCCACGGGGTACGAGCGAGCAGGGCCACCACCACTGACATCCTGGGAGGGGAAGGAAAAGGCAGCTGGTTATTTCTCACAGACCTCCCACATTCCTATCCTGTATTTACAGAGGAATTCCTCCTCCAGGTTTAAAACTGCTTTTATGTACAAATGTTAAAAAGTAAGCATTCCAGTTTTCTGCTGGTTAAATACCAAAGTCTGACAATGCAGGAATACACACAAATAATTTTATAAGTACTTACTGCCCACTGTCCCAGTAAGTTCACCAGGAAGTTGCCACTGAAACGAACAGACAACATCTGGGAAATGACGTAGAGGTTGGAAACTAAGGCAGACTGCAGGATGATGGGAATGTTGGAGGTATAAAAGAGCTTGATGGGATAACTGCTGTACTGCCCCCGGTACCGGGCAGACTTGATGGGCAAGTCCACTCGGAATCCCTGTGGAAAATAACACCAATGCACCAAGTTTATCTCCAGACAGAAGGTATTCCCAGTATGCCCCAAAGTTATTCCTGACCATGGAGTTCTTGCTAGATGAACAAGGAGGGCAAGGTCTGAGGCAGCAAAGCCCAAAGGCTTTCAGCTACAGTCTGGATTACAAATTTTAAGGATTTTCAAGTGTTACTGCTTGGTTGTATTACATTCTTCTTATATAAACATTATTTCTCATCTGCTAAATGATGCTCCTCCAAAATACATTTTATAGAACAGGGTTTGATAAAAGCCTGTAATGGCTTTTAACTGAATTAACCAGCAGGCTTGTGTCTTCTGTTTTCTGGGGCAGGATCCTCTCTCAGTAGACCCAAGAAAAACCACATGGACTTGAAAACCTGATAATTCTTTTTTTCTTTTTTGTTTTTTTCTTTGGCCAGCACTCAGACACAACAACTTAAAAAAATAAATTAAAAAAATCAAATTTTAGCCAGACACACACACACACACACACACACAAAATCTCAATATGGATCCTCCTGTAGTGTCCATTTTAGTAAATACT